GCTCGAATTGCTCCAGAAACACAAGCTATACCTGAAGCCCGAAAAGTGCGAGTTCGAACGCACGGAAATCGAATATTTGGGTGTAATTATTGGACACAATTCGATGCGGATGGACCCAGTCAAGATCAAGGGCGTGATGGAATGGCCCGAACCAAAGAGCGTCAAACAAGTCCAAGCGTTTCTAGGGTTCACAAACTTCTATCGGCGCTTTGTCCGGGGATATGCGGAGGTCGCCAAGCCGTTGACGCGGCTGACAGGAAAGGCAGGATGGTCATGGGGTGCAGATGAGCATGCGGCATTTGATGGATTGAAGAAGAGAATCGCGGAGGATGCGGTCCTAGCACTGCCAAATGACACTGGCCAATATCGTCTGGAAGCCGATGCTTCGGAAGGGGCAACGGGATCAGTTTTGAGCCAAAACCAAGACGGCATTTGGCGCCCAATTGCATTTATTTCGCACGCACTGACCGAAACCGAGCGAAATTACGAGATCTACGACAAGGAAATGCTCGCAATCATGTTATCGCTTGACGAATGGAGGCAGTTACTCCTGGGAGCCACGGAGACGTTCGAGATCTTCACCGACCATCAGAATCTCGAGTACTTCCGGAAGCCGCAGAAGCTCAATCGACGGCAAGCACGATGGATCACGGAGTTGGCGGAGTTCGATTTCACCTTACGACACCGGCCCGGCGCACTCAACCGCAAAGCGGATCTCTTATCTCGACGAGCAGATCACGATCAGGGCAAGAACGACAACAAGGACGTCACGCTACTAAAGCCCGAGTTTTTCCGATCACAAGAAGTCACATTTGAGGGACAGGATCAGCAGCTAATCGATGAAATCAAGGCCATTCGATCAGTTGATGGAAGCGTCAAGGCGGCCTTGGAGAAGTCACTCGTCGGATGGAAGAAGGAAGATGGGCTCATCACGTATCATGGGAAGCTCTATGTACCAAGGGACGAGGAGTTGCGGGACAAGATCATCGGACTACACCACGACACCCCTTTGGTCGGACACGCTGGGACCAACCGAACGCAGGAGATGGTGGAAAGGAACTACTGGTGGCCAAGGATGGGGAACCAAATTCGGAAATACATCCAGACGTGCGAAGCGTGCCAGCGGACCAAGACCAGAAGAGCCAGGACAGGGAGTTTGCACCCGCATGCAGTTCCAAACGCGACATGGGAAATCATCTCCATGGATCAGATCGGACCCTTGCCGGTCAGTAACGGGTATGACGCAATTCATGTGTGGTGTGACACCTTCACCAAAATGATCCACGTCGAACCAATCAGTACTGACATCAGCAGCGAAGGAGTGGCACGATTAACCAGGGATCGAGTCTTCCGCTACCACGGGATCCCTCGCAAGATCATCACCGACAGGGATTCGCGTTACATCAAGGGCTTCATGAGGGAGACGAATCGGATGTTGGGCGTGGAAATGAACCCGGGGACCGCATATCACCCGATCACGGATGGGCAGACAGAACGCATGAATCAGGAGATCGAGCATTATCTCCGCATCTACGTCAATTACCATCAAACGGACTGGTCGGAGTGGCTGGGAATGGCGGAGTTTGCATATAACGACAAGATGAACACGTCCACCAAAGTATCGCCATTCTATGCGAATCACGGATATCACCCGTGGAAGGGAGTGGAGCAACGGATGGAGTCGAGAAACGAGTCGGCGGAGGAATTTGTGAAAAGAATCAAAGAAATACAAGACGAAGCAAAAGCGGCACTAGAAAAAGCAAAAGAAAAAATGAAAAAATACTACGATAAACAAAGAAAAGAAGTTCCGGAGTTGAAGGTTGGGATGAAGGTGTACATAGAAGGGGAAAATATCGAGACGGATCGACCATCAAAGAAGATGAGCGACAAGAGATTGGGACCATACGAGATACTGGAGAAGGTTGGAGCGGCTGCATGGAAGCTGGATTTGCCGGACACGGACCGAAGACATCTGGTGTTCAATGAGTCACTGTTGACACCCTATCACGAACCACCCCCCCATCGCCGAGAGAAGAGGCCTGTAGCCAAGATGATCGGAGGAGCAGAAGAGTGGGAAGTCGAAGAAATCGTGAAAGAGCGAAAAGTCGGCCGAGGAAAACAGTACTTGATCAAATGGAAGGGATGGCCGCACAGCGAGAACACCTGGGAACCATCACGTCACCTTACCCACGCGAAGAAGGTCCTGAGAGATTGGCAGAGGAAACAATCAAACCCAGACACACGCATTCGCCTCCTGCCAACTCTCGAAGCCGGACATTGGGATTATCTCATCCATCGCTACAAACCCAAAGACGAGTGCCTTCCATATCCCCAGCGACAACTCTTCGATCCCTACAAAAACGTCTTCACGCCCATCGGCCTAGTCGATGAGGACATCGACCCTAGAGAGGGGGTAATGTCATAATTCGACTCTTTTTCATCTTATCATCGACGATCTTATCTTATCTTGGCACGACTTATCTTATCACGGATCACGGCATCAGACGGTCCGGGCTAGGGGTTCCAGGGGTTATCTCTATCGATTCGAGGCTGCGCGACATATGCTCCGGAAGGTTCTACTACAACCCATGACCAGTGTTCCATGCGGTACATAGCCCTATGACTCATTAGTTGTAGATATGACTCAGACTGGACTTGGGTATAAATACTGTAGCTATTTGGTTGTATTCTCCAGTCTTCGAATTCACTTCTCTTTTCGGCTTTATTTTTGGTCAATTGTCACACAACATCCTCATCGAGTTCCTTGAGCATGGGCTGAGCAGTGAGATTGCAAGTTGCCTCTACAACACTGGTGTCCCTTTGCCCAAGGTGTATGGTGCCTTCAAGGACTGGTGTGTCAACATCAAGGCAAATGCTCTGCGCGATCAGCTGCGCAAAGCGTCGCATGGGCACTCCACGCCACGACCGCCTCCCCAATTCCGCCCGCAGGCAGCCCCAATGACACCTGCACCCGCTGATAGGCTGGCTACCAGACGCACTCTGCACCAGCTCTGTAAGGGCGTATTTTTGCGCTTTTACAGAGTTTACTCTTGAACAATTTGGTGTATTGTGTTGCGGTTGACAATGTTGCACTCAGTAGGGCTTAAGGGTCTACTGCCCAGTCAACGACTGTGGATAGTGTCGATGATAGCAAGGCAGTCAGATCACTACTGTGGAATTGGTCTTATGAGTCTATACCAGGCTCAGGGCTATTAGTGACGAACGCTTGGACCGCGACAATTCCCCAAAAGGAATCTTTCGTTGCGGCGACTGCTCAAAAGGGTCATTCTCTGCAGATGGGAACTTGGGCTGAAGGGCTGAGCAATGCACAACGTTCTCGATATTACAACTACTACTGGACAGGACTTGGTGTTACGAGATTGAACCAATCTTGTCGCGGCAACTCCCGGTTTTGGGTTGGACGTTTCCTCAGATCATGCCACGGCAACGACTTGTCACATGTCAGGATCCATTCGATCACGGGACATTGTGGACGCGTTGCGGTGACACTTCCAAGTGTCATGACGAGTCGCGCCCATACCCAAATACACTAAGGCCAACACGGCTAGATCCGTGAGCCGAGCCATGTGAGGAACGACTGGCGTGCCTGGGGCCATACAGCTTCTTGGGGCACCCATGTTGGACTCACCTGCCAAGACATACCCATTGGCCAATCCAGCACGTCGTATTCCAAAAGTATGACGCGGTGGGTTGACCCACATCAAAAGTATCATATGGACTATGGGGCGGGGTCCTGATCGCTCAGGACCTGTCCGATCGTCCAACTTTTCATTACTCTAAAAGGCAACCAATCTTAGATAGCGTAGCTACTATGCAGTTGTACAGGACTTTACTAAGCATCGTCGTAGACAGTATAAGTAGCACATCGTTTCTTTGTATTAGAAAGCTTTCCCCCGGACCGTGAATCACTCTCATATCAGATTGTACAAAAGCTTTCTAATTTCCCCGGACCATGAATCACTCTCATATCAGATTGTTTTGTACAATTTGCGTGCTGTGTGATTCCACCCTAAGAAGTTCTGCCACCCCTGCCCGGTCATGACGAGTTGCTCCCCAGAGCACTTGTAGCTACTGTGATTTGAGTTTGAGTTGAGATATCAGAAAGTCGGATTCGCCGCATCTGGTATTGTCGCGGCATTTAGTGTCGTCGCCCTTTGGGCTTTGTTGAGATCGTTCCACACCTCTAGCTTGGCAGTGCGTCGACTAGTTGTGCTCGGGTTGTTTTGGTCAGTTGGCAGTGCGTCGACTTGAGAACTTTGGTTCCACACTTCTTGCTTGGCAGTGCGTCGACGAGTTGTGCTCAGTTGGCAGTGCGTCGACTTGAGAACTTTGGTTCCACACTTCTTGCTTGGCAGTGCGTCGACAAGTTGTGCTCGGGTTTTGGACATTGGATATTGGCTGTTAGTTGGCAGTGCGTCGACTCAGTATATTGGTTGTATCGGTTGGCAGTGCGTCGACTTGATATTTGGGCTTTGCATTGCCATCTGGATGCTGTCGCTACAAGGGATCTTAATACTTTGTATTAAGCTCTGACTTGTGACATTGTTGGTTGTGGTTGGATTAGTGTTGGTTGTGTGCATATAGAGGATATTGGTTGAGACACCACTGTTTGATATATATAAATTCTTGTCGTCGACTTTGTCCTCCGCAACTATTGATCTGCGTCTATTGAGAGTTGTGATACTGGTGCTCTGTCCACCCCGAAGTCCTTGCATCTTTCACACACTGAGAAGCTGATTACGAGGAGTGTGAACGTGTTTATATTTGGGTTTACTTTCATAGTAGATTCACTTGTGAGCGCGCCCTCAGCATTTCAGCGTTTGCGTTCGACCTTGACAGCTTCAAGGTTAACAGATCCGGCTTCGCCGTGCCATTGTTGTTCCAATAGGCCATGACTGCAATCAAGCTCAGCACGATGAATTGGGAAAGATCAGGGACTGTGTGTACGCTTTCTTGAATGAATCAACCCATCCTGTTCCTCACAAGCGTTGTCCTTCAGGAACATTGAGCGCCACTTCAAGTCTCTTGCATTGCTCAATCAACATTGTGCCTGTAACTGCACGATTCTTCTGTTCCCCGTCGAGCGCCCATAGACCAAGACCCCGATCAACTTTGGGTGCTGTAACAACTCGCTCGCGCTTGAGAGACAGTGCCGTGGAGTTTTGAGCAGCAAGGGCCAGGAGAGCAGCCTTCTTGACTGGATTCAGGTGCTTCAAAAGCGCGCTCTGCATGAACGACAGTTTCCCGCCCTCGGCATGAGACCTCGAGGCAAAATACTCGATGACAGCCTTCTGTTTAATGTTGGGATTCTTGTCGTGATATTGAATGACCTGGAGCCAGTCCCAGTTTGTCAAATTTTTCCATCCCTCTTGGCCCAGAACAGCAGAAGAGAAATGCACTTCCTTTGGCTTTGGGCCTGGCTTTACGCAAGTGGCGGCTTTCGCCTTAGCCTTGGTCGGGTCGCGGTTGCACACGCGGATAGCGCGAAATTTGGGAGTGGTGTCTACAGGCATTGGAATGAGGGAGAGTGCTTGGTAAAGCAAAGTTCATGCATATATTGTTCACCCAAAAGAGGCACTCAACCACTCTGCCAAAGCCAGCTATCACACGCAATATAGAATATTGCCGCCAGGAAAATCACATGCTTGTATTCCTTATTCCGGATAACCAACAATGGGATATTACCGCTTTCCTGACCCGGGAAGGTCCGAATCCTATTCCTTATTGCGGATATTCTGCATCAACATATTTGTTATTAACAGTTGTACTGTATAGTAAACAGTGGTGTCTCAACCAATATCTTCTATACGACCAAAACCAACACTAATCAAACCACAACCAACAATGTCACAAGTCAGAGCTTAATACAAAGTATTAAGATCCCTTGTAGCGACAGCATCCAGATGGCAATGCAAAGCCCAAATATCAAGTCGACGCACTGCCAACCGATACAACCAATATACTGAGTCGACGCACTGCCAACTAACAGCCAATATCCAATGTCCAAAACCCGAGCACAACTTGTCGACGCACTGCCAAGCAAGAAGTGTGGAACCAAAGTTCTCAAGTCGACGCACTGCCAACTGAGCACAACTCGTCGACGCACTGCCAAGCAAGAAGTGTGGAACCAAAGTTCTCAAGTCGACGCACTGCCAACTGACCAAAACAACCCGAGCACAACTAGTCGACGCACTGCCAAGCTAGAGGTGTGGAACGATCTCAACAAAGCCCAAAGGGCGACGACACTAAATGCCGCGACAATACCAGATGCGGCGAATCCGACTTTCTGATATCTCAACTCAAACTCAAATCACAGTAGCTACAAGTGCTCTGGGGAGCAACTCGTCATGACCGGGCAGGGGTGGCAGAACTTCTTAGGGTGGAATCACACAGCACGCAAATTGTACAAAACAATCTGATATGAGAGTGATTCATGGTCCGGGGAAATTAGAAAGCTTTTGTACAATCTGATATGAGAGTGATTCACGGTCCGGGGGAAAGCTTTCTAATACAAAGAAACGATGTGCTACTTATACTGTCTACGACGATGCTTAGTAAAGTCCTGTACAACTGCATAGTAGCTACGCTATCTAAGATTGGTTGCCTTTTAGAGTAATGAAAAGTTGGACGATCGGACAGGTCCTGAGCGATCAGGACCCCACCCCATAGTCCATATGATACTTTTGATGTGGGTCAACCCACCGCGTCATACTTTTGGAATACGACGTGCTGGATTGGCCAATGGGTATGTCTTGGCAGGTGAGTCCAACATGGGTGCCCCAAGAAGCTGTATGGCCCCAGGCACGCCAGTCGTTCCTCACATGGCTCGGCTCACGGATCTAGCCGTGTTGGCCTTAGTGTATTTGGGTATGGGCGCGACTCGTCATGACACTTGGAAGTGTCACCGCAACGCGTCCACAATGTCCCGTGATCGAATGGATCCTGACATGTGACAAGTCGTTGCCGTGGCATGATCTGAGGAAACGTCCAACCCAAAACCGGGAGTTGCCGCGACAAGATTGGTTCAATCTCGTAACACCAAGTCCTGTCCAGTAGTAGTTGTAATATCGAGAACGTTGTGCATTGCTCAGCCCTTCAGCCCAAGTTCCCATCTGCAGAGAATGACCCTTTTGAGCAGTCGCCGCAACGAAAGATTCCTTTTGGGGAATTGTCGCGGTCCAAGCGTTCGTCACTAATAGCCCTGAGCCTGGTATAGACTCATAAGACCAATTCCACAGTAGTGATCTGACTGCCTTGCTATCATCGACACTATCCACAGTCGTTGACTGGGCAGTAGACCCTTAAGCCCTACTGAGTGCAACATTGTCAACCGCAACACAATACACCAAATTGTTCAAGAGTAAACTCTGTAAAAGCGCAAAAATACGCCCTTACAGAGCTGGTGCAGAGTGCGTCTGGTAGCCAGCCTATCAACGCTTGTTTTGACTCTGCTCCCATTATGCTCCCACGGACATCTGGAACACAGATGAGACGAGCTTTTCCCATCCATGCCACCCGACCGCACCCTCTGCACTGCACCCATGAGCGGCACGAAACAGGACAAGTTTTGCATCTCCGTTCTTGTCACAGCCAACTCCATTGGATCAGAGATGCTCGACTTGATGTTCATTGTAAGGGCAACTCCTGCCAGCCCGAAGGAAGAGAGCACACAGCACACAACAACCTCACATGAGTCTGAGCACAGAGGGGGATCCTTAGAGACTATCAAATACAAGGGAGGTATACTACTCACCTGAGCACAGAGGGGGATCCTTAGAGAACGGTTCAAGGATCCATGTGCCCAGGTGTCACACTATATAGTCAGCTGTGACAAGTGACTGATGATGATGGGATATCACTGCCATGGAACAATGGCAGATGACAAGTAGATAATGACAAACCCAGATAAGATAGTGAGTGGCTCAGAGGGGCCAGTGACGGCCAGCTCCTGAGACACCAACAGTGGAAGGCCACACTGGAGGAGCCCAGTGGCCAGGCCAGTGCCGGGCCGGCCAGTGGAGGCATCGGAGGCGAGGACCAATGCCCGACTGGGAAGAGGGGTGGTACGGATGAGCGCAAGGCATCTGGTACGAGCCTGTACGGCAGTAGACCACATCCGCGGGAAGAAGGCCGAAGTAGAGGGGGAGGAGTGCGTATGGCAGTAGCACTCCCTGGTGCAAGGAATCGGGCTTGGCTAGACCGCTTGCGGGGATTCGAGGGAGATGGCCAGGGGAAGAAGGGAGAGGGCGGATGTCGGCATGGATGGAGGTGAGGATCGGAGGAGGAGGAGGAGGCTGGGTGATCAACAGGTGAGCAGGCACGGGTCGGCAGAGAGGGCGCAGCGGGTCACGTGCATGGTCACGTGCCCAAGGAGCGCGGTGTCCCCTGACATCATCCCCCCTTCAAGCTACGGCGTCCCGACGTAGGCAGCGCGAAGCAGATGGAAGAAAAGGGAGGGTGGGTGGGGGAAAAAGAAGGACGCACTACTCCAGTGGTATGCTGCGCGTCCCACTCTGTCGTCCGGTGCGTCGTCACTGAGCTGCGTGTCAGCTCCCTATGACCTAGTGGTCGGTTGCTGTCCCGCTCTAAAGGTCCAGCCCCACAGCTATGCATGTGTGGCTGTACCACGACCTTCCCTATGGTCAAGGTGGTCGTCGCTCTGCTCCTCCCAGAAGCTCAGGTGCCTGTAAGGGCAACCAGGACTCCTGAAGTCGTCCCACTTGTAGAGAGAAGCTCCCTTGCGGTCGCTTCCCTCCACTGCCCCTTCATCCCCCCTTCAAGGTGCGGCGCCCTCGATGCACCAATCGGTTGTCCCAGCTGCACAGCAGCAATAGAGGCAACCGAAAAAAAGGCACGTGTCGGATGCAGAAGGGAGGGATGTTGCGTGCACCAGCCACCTAATAGATGGGGTCGGCGGGTGATGCACGGGTCTACCACCTGCCGTGGATGTCCGGAGCCAAGGTGTAACAGGCCGGCCACAACAGCAAGCCAGCCATCACATGGTTAGTGCAAGGCCTCGCACAACAGCGGAGGCACGTAGCAGATGTTCCGCCGGCCGAAGCCGGGGGTATACGCCCATGGAGACACACGTAGGGGGGACAGAGCCAACAGAAGGACCGACTGCTCTGACGCTCAAGACGTAACAAGCCGGCCAAGGGGGCCAGCCATCACACGGTTAGCGTAAGGCCTCGCACAACAGCGGAGGCACGTAGCGGATGTTCCGCCGGCCAAATCCGGGGGTATATGCCCGTGGAGACGTGCGCAGAGGCGAGACAGCGGGGGGAGAGGTTATGGACCAAGGCGGAGATGATGGGAACAGAGGGAGGAGTGCAGAGGAGATGATGGGACGGAGGGAGAGGGTCTGCTGCGCCAGGTGCGACATCACAATCAGCTGGGGATAGAGCAAGGGATGCTCCATCCGAACCGATCCTGCAGGGAAGCAGGTGCCAAGTGACCAATAGATGGTCACGGGGGACAATCGACAATCCCCCCTTCAAGGTTGCAGCCCACCTGCAATAATGCACAACGAGCGTGGGCAGCAACCAAGAAGTAGGCCTGGATGCGCAGGGAGAGCCTGGCGGCATAGGAGCACGGACCCAAGGACACGAGGAAGCAGCAGAAGAGAGGAGGCCAGACGGCCCAGCGCACGATGAGGAAAGACCCAGACCCAGCAGAGAGCGGCAGCCATGGGCAAGCAATGCCAGATCCATCACATCACAGAGGAACCCAAGCCTAGGGTCCCATCACAGCCACAAAAAAGCGCAGCAGAAATGGTGCCTGGGGCGCAGCCACGGATCACGTGACATGTCGGTCACATGACTGAAAGGACGGTCACGTGATATGCATGTGACATAGCGCAGCCACACATCACATGACTTCCTGGACATGACACAGCACACAGCAGCAGCTCACAGAGTGGCAGACTGCCCTAGGGGCAGAGCACCAACAGTGTGGCTACACAAGACAGCAGACTGCCTCAAAGGCAATGGGCTGTCACTGTGGCTATGCCAGTGCACTGCCACTGGAGACAGGTGGCAGTGTGGGGATCCAGAGCACAGCCATGAGGTTACATGAGCAGAGAGCGGACCAAACTCTGCCAAAGGGGAGAGGCAGGTGGCTGTGCAGAGGGCAGGGAGCGGGGTGGCTGTGCAGGGGGCGGGGCGCGGTGGCTGCGCAAGGAGCGGGGCACTGCCACAGAGGGCGGGGGTGATGGGGGTCACCTGAGAGAGCAGCCAGGTGACTAGACACTGCCACTGCCAGCAAGCCCGAGGATGGCCGGGTTTTTGACAGCGTGGGAAACTCGAGCACTGCCACTGCCCCAAAAACTCGAAAATGCTCTGGGGGAGTGGGGCTGGCAGGGGGCAGGGGGAGGGGAGTCCATGGGAGGGATGGAGAGAGGGTACACAGAGGGCACCCAGGCAGAGCAGGGCTGCAGCCAGCTAGGAGGTGGAGAGGGGTAGAGGCAGGTGGGAAGGCAGGGAACACAAGACCAGGGGGTCCAGCTTCACAGAGGTGCCCATGGGGGAGAGGGAGTAGAGCAGGTTGGGTAGAATGTGTTCAGCAGCATAGGAGAGGAGCAGAATCACATATCTAGGGCACAAGGACCCAACCAGAGACCAGAGCACGTATGACAGTCATCCCACCACCAACTCATCCAACCCAGCTCAGCCATCCAAATCCACCAATCCACAGAACCAACATCCAGCCAGGAGGGGGGAGAGAGAGGGAGGCCAAGTCCTAAATCCAGGAGGGGAACGAGGGGGGAGGAGGTCGGAGTCGGATGGCACGAGCCTCGACGGCAGTAGGCCAGGGAGATGAGGGGGGAGGAAGAGGAGGGGAGGGATGACCGGGGGTTCGTGGGTGATGCGTATGCGATGTATGGAGTGGACCAGTTAACACTACCAGGGACTCGACAGGGACACACCAATTACAAAACCACTAGCCGCCAGCCGGCTTGGAGGCCACACCAGTGCGCAGCAACAGGGCGCCATAGACTGCCACTGTCCTGACGCTCAGCTGGGTGGAGTCCAATGGGGTGGAACCGTTCTGCTGTAAGGGCAACTCCTGCCAGCCCGAAGGAAGAGAGCACACAGCACACAACAACCTCACATGAGTCTGAGCACAGAGGGGGATCCTTAGAGAACGGTTCAAGGATCCATGTGCCCAGGTGTCACACTATATAGTCAGCTGTGACAAGTGACTGATGATGATGGGATATCACTGCCATGGAACAATGGCAGATGACAAGTAGATAATGACAAACCCAGATAAGATAGTGAGTGGCTCAGAGGGGCCAGTGACGGCCAGCTCCTGAGACACCAACAGTGGAAGGCCACACTGGAGGAGCCCAGTGGCCAGGCCAGTGCCGGGCCGGCCAGTGGAGGCATCGGAGGCGAGGACCAATGCCCGACTGGGAAGAGGGGTGGTACGGATGAGCGCAAGGCATCTGGTACGAGCCTGTACGGCAGTAGACCACATCCGCGGGAAGAAGGCCGAAGTAGAGGGGGAGGAGTGCGTATGGCAGTAGCACTCCCTGGTGCAAGGAATCGGGCTTGGCTAGACCGCTTGCGGGGATTCGAGGGAGATGGCCAGGGGAAGAAGGGAGAGGGCGGATGTCGGCATGGATGGAGGTGAGGATCGGAGGAGGAGGAGGAGGCTGGGTGATCGACAGGTGAGCAGGCACGGGTCGGCAGAGAGGGCGCAGCGGGTCACGTGCATGGTCACGTGCCCAAGGAGCGCGGCGTCCCCTGACACCCGAGTTGTTCCGATCACGAGAAGTCATATTTGAGGGACAGGATCAACAGCTGACCAATGAGATCAAGGCCATTCGCTCAATTGATGGAAGTGTCAAGGCAGCATTGGAGAAGTCTCTCCCTGGATGGAAAAAGGAAGATGAACTTATCACGTATCACGGGAAGCTCTACGTACCAAGGGACAAGGAGCTACGGAACAAGATCATTGGACTACACCACGACACGCCTCTCGTCGGACACGTGGGGATCAACTGGACGCAGGAAACAGTGGAAAGGAATTATTGGTGGCCAAGGATGGGAAATCAGATCCGAAAATACATCCAGACGTGCAAGGTGTGCCAACGGACAAAGACCAAGAGGGCGAGGACAGGAACTCTGCATCCACACGTGGTACCAAGTACCCCATGGGAAATCATCTCAATGGATCAAATCGGACCTCCACTGGTCAGCAATGGGTATGATGCAATTCATGTGTGGTGTGACACCCTCACAGAAATGATTCATGTGGAACCAATCAGTACTGACATCACTAGCAAAGGGGTAGCATGGCTAACTTGGGACCAGGTCTTCCGCTATCATGGGATCCCTCGCAAGATCATCACCGACAGGGACTCACGATACATCAAGGGCTTCATGAAGGAAACGAATTGGATGTTGGGAGTAGAGATGAACCCTGGGACCGCATACCACCCAATCACAGACGGGCAGATGGAACGCATGAATCAGGAGATCGAGCATTATCTCCGCATCTATGTCAACTACCATCAGACGGATTGGTCGGAGTGGCTGGGAATGGCGGAGTTTGCATATAATGACAAAATGAACACGTCCACCAAGGTATCGCCATTTTATGCAAACCACGGATATCACCCATGGAAAGGAGTAGAGCAGAGGATGGAATCAAGGAATGAGTCGGCGGAGGAATTTGCGAAAAGAATGAAAGAAATACAAGACAAAGCAAAAACAGCATTAGAAAAAGCAAATGAAAAAATGAAAAAATACTACGATAATCAAAGAAAAGAAGTTCCGGAGTTGAAGGTTGGAATAAAGGTGTACGTGGAAGGAGGGAATATCAAGACGGATAGGCCATCAAAGAAGATGAGCAATAAGAGATTAGGGCCGTACGAGATTTCGGAGAAGGTTGGAGCAGCCGCATGGAAACTGGACTTGCCGGGTACTGGTGTGCCGGAGGGGGTGGTAGTGACCCTGCCAACACCCCCGCCAACCCCGCCAACATTTTTGAAATCTCATGTTTCATCACGTGATTTTTTTATCGTGCCATCCATCCCCTGTCCATTTGATGCCTCACATCATTCTATTTTTTCTCCCACCCATCTCAGTCTGCCTTATCTACAGGAGAAATCACATGACATATATTATCCCCGGGCCCTCCTGACCCCTGCACATGACCCTGCCCCCTGCACCCCTGCCTACCCCCGCCAGGGGGGGGTCTGTTATGTAATGATGGCGGTGGCATCTGGGGTGATTTGATTCGAGCCCAGCCAGCGAAAGGAAACAGTTTACGTGGATGTAAAAGTTACTCGGCCGATGGGTCGACGATAACATGCTAATTTTTCGAGACTCGGAGGTCACTAGAAAGAGACGGAATTACAAGACCCAGCACTCCCTCTTTCCCGCCTTATCATTTCAAGTGCGTAAAGAAGCGACGCAGAAGCATCAGATCTCTGCCAAGCCACTCATCCGAAACGCAACCGTCCTTTTCACAAACCTGAGCCTCCCGAGCATTCGAATAACGGTGAAGACGAGCCATCGCGCAGGTGCCCACAGCTTACCCGGCGAAGTGATCAATCCCATCCCGTGTTCCGTCAACTTGATCACCTCCAGCGCACGCTCGTGTCTCCATCGAGCCCATTCCAACAGTCCGCTATCATCTTCCGGCGCGCCGAAATGAGCGCTCAGAACGGCTCCCAGGCTGATAGAGTCGCGCAGGCCGAGACTCAGACCCTGCCCACCGATGGGACTGTGGATGTGCGCCGCATCACCGGTGAGGAGGACAACCCCTCCGCCTGGGAAGCGCTTGAAGTTGCGATCGGAGATGGCGGAGCGCGTCTTGTGGCGCGACGACCAGTGCACGGTCTCAATCTTCGAGCCTTGCAGAGGCCCGGGAGCCATTCGGTCGAACATCTTCTGCAGGTACTCGACATCGGGCGAGTGCGGCGGCGCGCCCATCTGCTGTGGGATCCCGCTGGTGATGCGGTACACTGGTTTGGTAGCATTGGGATAAGTTGCGTGGGGAATTTTGGCAATGATTATTGTGCTATTGTTCGCAAGGCGGAATATGGTATGAGGTGTGGTCGACGGGAGTGGCGCGGAGAAGGAGACATCGCCCAGCGCCATCTGCGATAGGTTGCCAAAGTCGCGTGGTCCATCTCCGCGTGGGTCTTCGAATGCGATCCCTGCGTGATGCCGGACCTGATGACAAGGTTAGATGAATCTAGCCCATGCGCAGGAAGACACGCCGCCTACAACTGATTGCGCCCCATCGGCCCCGATTACGTACTTTGCCTTGATGACTTCCCCAGACTCGAATGCGACCTTCAGCTTCCCGGAGTCGTCGCTACATTCCTTGACGGAAACGACTCTCAGTGGGCGGAAGACGTGGATCCCGAGCTGCGTCAACTTTTCGAGCATTGCCCGTTCGGTGCTGGATTGCGAGATGAGCAGGCTGTACGGAAATTTCGTCTTGTCGGCAAGCAACGAGAAGTCGGCTGTAAGCAGCAACGACGACCCTTCGTGTACCCACAGTTCCCTAACCTGTTCTCCCAATGGAAGGATGATGTCCATGCACTTGATGGTGTCCAAAGCCTGTGTGCGTGTGTCGGTAGTGTACAAGAGCCAGATAAACCACGCTGAACCTCCAGTGTCGCCGCATGGATCACCAACGAACGCGAGGCGTTCTCACCCTGCTCGATGGCGTCTACGACCACCACATCCTTGATGCCTTGGTGGTACAAGGAGAGCGCTGCCGCCATACCACACGGCCCCGCGCCAACGATGAGAATAGGTGTTTCAGCAGGCAAAGACATTCGGACGTGGGTATTCCGCAGCGAGCTTGCCTGCCCTTTTAAATGTGCGAAACGGGCCGGATGGCTAAACGGGCAATGCATATGCGTCAAGGTACTCGACACAACAAGATTAGGAGAGCATCGGAGCAGAGCTGCGCTGATCGTCTGTCTGTTCGGCCAGTAATTGGTAGTCAAGCCGGCCATCGGTCACTGTCGACTGTGTCTGTCGGAAAGGGTACGAATATACACCCCAAAAGGGCCGCACTTGATCCGGGAAAGCAGTGCGGATCAGTCCATAGATGACATCGCTTGGTCCGGATAGTGCATTTTTCTTCACGCCCCGAATCCATGAGCCAAGTTATCTATATCATATCGGATTTCGTGCCTGTCGGTGCTCTAACGAACGCTGCAAAAGATCTAAGACACACCTCAGTCTAATACAGATAGAAACGAATGGGGTGCGGCTGTCCCAATTCAAGTAGTTCGAAGAGGAGTTCATCATCACGCTACCCGGACTGGTGTTTTAGTCCAACAACCTGGAGTGGCTGTGATCGGGTGGTGAAAACGCGGTCACGTGAGTCTTTATTTCGAGCGAAATCGCTCAAGCTGAGTTCGAGTTCTACTTTCACGCGTACGGTCTGGATGAGGAAATTGAATCGGAGAGTATTTTCACTACATGCCTCCTCGCCTGAGCTACCTAAGTATAAACATCAGCGACCGATGCTATCTTCTTTCTCACAACCATGCCCTACCTACTACTCCCGGGTTTTGCACACGAAACTTCCGGTCGGCGTTCTACTGAGCAGTTCAATTATGGCACTTGAGCTGATCTTATCGCCGAAATGAACTGCGATCCGTCAATAACAACGCTGATCTGCACAGCATCCAGCACTGATGACCAAGATTCAGTCTTAGTCACTGAGCGAGTACCTTCCCAGTTTCCCTGCCCTCCCCGCAAAGCCACCGGGACGTGGTTCTGACCAATTTTCGTGCAGAGGCTTTCATACCGGAGTAGGCCGGCCTTGATGCTCATGTTGACGCGTGCATCCAGGCATTGGTTGGGGTTCCACATAAGTAGTCACCGAATTCGCTCATTCCACAGACAATCTCCTCTCCCTCCCTTTTTACTTCCTTGAACTTGAACTACCGACGAAAATGAGCATCCCATCCGTTTGCAAGCAATATGTCCTTCCCAAGGTAGGTGCGCTTTGCGATTGTGCTGGGCGGCCACTCACATTCCCTCTAGACGGGCTCGATCGACAACCTCATCATCACCGAGACGCCTGTCCCCCAGCCCAAGGCGGGCGAGATCCTCCTCAAGGCGCACGCCGTATCTGTCCAATTCCGCGACCTCATGGTGATCAACAACACGTACCCTACTGGGTCAGGAAGACGCGCTATCCCGACGAACGTGCCCGCTCACATCCCATCCTAGATCGATCCCCAACCTGGTTCCGTGCTCGGACGTCGCGGGCGAGATCGTGGCGCTCGGCCCTGGCGTGACGGACTTCAAGATCGGGGACCGCGTCAGCCCCAGCTTCGTGGACACGCTCCATGGGGATGTGATCACGACGGATGTGAAGGCCAGCGCGCTTGGCGCGCCGGTGCATGGCACGTTGACGGAGTACCGCACGTATCCTACGCACGTATGTCTCCATCTCATGTCGCCGTCGATTCATGCTTATCTGGTGCTGCGTTCTGCAGAGGCTGGTGAGGATCCCCGATCACTTGTCGTATGAGGAGGCGTCGACCCTCCCGTGAGCGGGGTCCTTGTTGTAACCCCCCTCTCAGGCTCACTTTTACCTCACAGTTGCGCCGCTGTGACTGCATACAACGCCCTCATGGGCGGGTTCTCACCACTCAAAGCCGGCGACTCGATTCTCGTCCTCGGCACGGGTGGTGTTTCCACGTGCGTCCAGTCCAATCCGTTCTTCTCGCGCATATAGTGAGCGGCGCACATTGCAGGTTCGCGCTGCAGATCGGCGTCGCATCCGGCGCGAGCGTTATCGTGACATCCTCGTCCGACGAGAAGCTGCAGGTCGCAAAACGTCTCGGAGCCGCGCACGTCATTAACTACAAGACGACACCCGCCTGGGAGGAGGAGGTGATGAAACTGACGAACGGCCGCGGCGTGGACCAAGTCGTCGAGGTTCGTCGGGATTGCGGTGTTGTGTTCTTGGTCTACGTTGCTAATCGCGTGTTAGGTTGGTGGCGAGGCGACTTTGGGAAAGAGCATCGCGTCTGTGCGTATGGGAGGCTCGGTTACCGTGATGGGCGGTCTGGCTGGAGCTGTGAGTGTTCCAACGTACCAGTGGCATCTGTCATTCCTTGCTTAACGATCCTCAAGCCTGGCCAAGCGCCCGTGTCCATCATCCCCTCTGCGATCTTCAAGTCCCTGAAACTCCGGGGCATATACGTCGGCTCCGTCGAACAGTGTGTCTCATTGCCTCATGCATTAGCCACATACATATTGATGTCTGACACGCGAACATAGGTTTAAAAATCTTGGTAGGCTGATGGCGGCCAACCCTGAGGTCACACGGCCCGTCATCGACAAGGTCTTCCCATTCGAGCAGGCGAAGGAGGCGTTCAAGCGCCAGAGCAGCCAGGCCCAAGTTGGGAAGATTGTCATCAAGGTGAACTAGGTCATGGGGCTGTAGGGGCGTTGGTTTGTAGGGACATTGTGAAGATAGTTTGTTTTGGTTGAAATGTTAGAGCAGCTCAAAGCTTGAGTTTGGGCCCAAGCGACCAACTAGGGTCTAATTAATTGACCCGGCCGGATTGTTTTGGGTCACGTGCTTTGGTTGCAGACATTCCCAACACGGCTTGCAAGTCAACTGATATGTCCCACGACTCTCTTTCAGCAAATGATCGACAATTTTCCTCCCTTGATTTGTTCAATATTTCGTAGTTGATGCATTGAGAAAATTTTCCCAGGGTACAATGGTCTCAATTTTTTGGTGCAACACGTACGTACTGCACTGCAGGGGCTTTCTATTTTTCCTAGAGAACATGCAACACTCGCCAAATGATTTTTGTGACTAAAAGGTGTCTCTTTTCCAGCAAGGATTCCGAAAGAAGATCATCTTTTTGTGACGTGATTTCAAGCAAACCCCTCAAGCTGAGTTCGAATTCTCATTTTCACGTGTACGTTTTGTGTGAGGGAACCCGATTTGAGAATAGAATCAAAAAGAGTCTCACTGGACCAAGGTATCTAAGCAAGCATTCCATGCCTTTGTTGGCACTAGTTGCGCCGTAATCCTCTCACAAAAGGTTATCAGCATCTCATCACGCTCATTCGTCCTTCGTCCCCACTTCCAGTAGTGGATCCAAATGGGACTCGGGGTGTCGGTACGACTTTCCGACGTGGTCAGCCCACGTAAAATACTGTCGCTGCGCTCAGCTTGCTTACAACACGCAAGCCCGTGGAACGCTCACTTGTCCGTAATTGACCGTGAAGTAGAGATGGTGCAGCGTGTGGTGGGCCGGTCCGTTGATCACCGACTCCAGTGCATGTCCGGTGATCATGTCCGAGTCGTGGATCTGCCTCTCGGCGTCAATGTCATCCGCGCTCCAAGCATGATGCTGACCAAATGCACTGACGAAAATAGCCCAGATTTGCACGAGAACGAATAGGCCGAGGTAGACGAAGCGGTTGAGTGGGAAGAGGAAGATGAATAGATGGTAGGGGACACTCTGGAGGTATCCGTCCATCGGATGGAATGCAAATGCGGCCCAGGGTGTAGGGACTGCACCCATCAGACTTGGGAGACCAACTGAATTCCCAGAAGAATGAGCGCACCGATCCACTTGTGGTGAGGCTTGTGAAGCACTTTGTAAATTCCTGGGATATGCAAAGCGCGGTGTATCCAATAAATCCAATAGTCGGTGAACAGCAGGAACCTGCACGTCATGTCAGTTAGGCCACATCGGGCGAAAGTAAACGGTGTCTTGCAGAATCGGAGAGATAACAAGATAGCCGAGCCCAAGCGACCCGAGCCCGCCATACAACTTCGAATACCCGCGGACCTCAGCGAGAAACCAGGGCAGCGTAAGCAGAATCATGCCCGGGAACGCACGTAAGCTCGTTTGGATCTCTAGCCACTCCTGGTTCTTCAAGAAGCGCGGGTGCCTGCGCATGTCCTGATTGAACGCAAAGCGGTACGAGAGACCGGAGAATGTGAAGTAAAGCAGATGTATGCCGACTAGGGTGATAGCGGAGAGGGACAAGAGTTGGCGGGGGATCGATGTGCGCGGCCAGGGCGCGGAGTGGATCGTGAATTTATGAGTGATCGTATCGTATACCGAGTCGAGGAAATACTCGTCGCAGACTTCGAGAACGAAATCCATGCCGCAGGCGTGAAGCTAGAAAGATAACGGACGAGGGGGATTGATTTTCATCTCACGGGACACAGCTTCGAGAATGATACTTCTCGGAAGTGGTGCCACTTCGAAATCGGAAGAGACCACGAGAGATGTGTTCAGCAGAACCGCAGTCATGACTGAATTACCAATCAGTTCGTCAGGGATCTGATCAAAGATCATAGATTACTGCACGCTCAACAGTCATTCACTCGAGGACATCGCGTGCGAGCTTCGGGTATCCTGTTCTCGGCGATACAGCTCCAGAGTCTGTGATTCTCTGACCACTTTCCGCAGTTTTGACAGCATCGAGTGAGCAAAGAAAGTATTCGGTGGTGAGCCCTTCTCGACCGTTATCGTTGAGGCTTGCGGCCAAGCCCCGGGTGCTCGTGATGACGCTGACTCAGCGCGCAATCATTTTCCTTCGTCTACCTACTTACATAATGATGCTCGTTGTCCTTGTCTCGCTCGCGCAAAAAAAACGCTGTTCAAACGGCACAATCGATGGACGGTCCAGTAACGCTCCCGAAACTCAAGCACGAGCCGTGGGACGAAGGTGCGCTGGCCTGGAGCCAAAAGCTTGAGTGATATGGGTGTGTGACACGCGATCGTTTACAGAAGCGGACCGGCGCATGCCTCCCGTTTCGCGCGAATACTCCGAAATATACTCGGCACCGACCTACCGCTTTGCGTCCTCCGACGACCATAGGGCAAGCAGCAGCAGCAGAAGGAGAGTGGAGCATCTGGAATCCCCTGCACTTCTCAAGCTTAAACCCGATCCCCAATGGGACTTCCGGGCAGATGGTACGTCCTGGGCTCTACCGGCATTCTCAGTTCTCAGACTCAACGGCTTGCGAAGAACATCCTCGGCTCCCGCCCATCACACGCGACCATCCGTACTCGCACTCGTACCTGCCTTCGACGGCGTACCGGTCGGACAGTGCGGCGCGACTCGAGACCGGTTCTCTGACTGCGCCAGGAACACTGCCGCGCACAAGTCACTCGCGTGACGTGAGCTACGACCCGGATCCATGGACTCCCTACGCCCACGACCGTGCCAAACCGAGTCTTTGGGCAGAGCGGGATCCGCACGCCGGTTGGAGTGACTCTTACGGTGGATATGATGGGCACCCCGCCAGGCCGCGTTCCCCGCCTCCCTTATACCCTTCGACAAGCTCGATACCTTCTCCCCCCGACTCGAACGCCTATGCTCTCCGCCCCACCCCACGCCACAGGCCGTGGTCTCCGCCTCCCTATCCGCCCGCGAGCACCGTCGCACCACCGCCCACGCACACCCCGCCGACCACGACCGCGAGCGCAACCGGGGCTGACGCGAACACCAAGTCCTGCTCGCACTGCGGCACGGGCACGACGCCCCTGTGGCGGCGCGACCCCTCGACGCAGCGGCCGCTGTGCAACGCCTGCGGGCTGTACCAGCACCAGCACAAGATGCTGCGTCCGCAGGCGCTGATCGACGCGGACCGCGACTCGGACGGGGACGACGGGGACGCGCTCGCGCGCATCCCGGACGCGGAGTACACCGGCCCGCAGTGCAGCCACTGCGGCACGCGCCGGACGAGCGTGTGGCGGCGGAGCAAGGAGGGCGCGCAGGTGTGCAATGCGTGCGGGGTGTATGCGCGCATGCGGGGGCGGGACCGCCCGCTGAGCCTGAAGAAGAAGAAGATAAAGCCGCGGACTAGGCTCGTCCAGCCCGTCCAGAAATAAGTGTACTTAGATACCGCTATTTAACACCTCACCGTGGATACAGGAGTGATCACATGACCGCGTTCGCTCTCGACCCTCCCTCGCCATGGCTGAACGTTGTCATGATCTCTGGTTCGAGGATGGAACCGTTGTGATCCAAGCAGAATCGACCCAGTATCGGCTATCCCGTGGCATCCTCGCCAAACACTCACCAGTCTTCCGTGACATGTTTTCGCTGCCCCAATCCGACATCAATCAACCCCTTGTCGAGGGATGTCCACTTGTTCATTTTTACGATGTGGAGACGGATATGAACATGTTCCTACGTGCGATATTTGAGCCGACGTATGTTTCCCTCGTCTGCTCTTTCGAGTACTGTAGGTTGATGGTACTCCAACGCAAAGCTACTTCCTGCCATTCCCTTCGCCTACCGAATTTGACATCATCATTGCCTGCCTCTCCTTGGCCCACAAATACGACGTTGCATTCCTGCGCAGCCGTGCTCTTTCCCACATCGCGTGCCGATACGGCTTCCTACAGCTTTCGGTGGCTGATAAGAGCATCCTGCCGAGAGCGCGCGAGCACCTCTTTTCGTGGCCTCTTCCCCAAGATGTGAGATCTTGGCTCAAACTCGCGCGTCTGATTCGACAAGTAGGAGCGACATGGTGTCCCCCCGTCCTGTTCTACTCGATCTCAGCGCGCCTGGACGTCGTCGGTCTTGAGCTACTTCTCGAGCCGGACAGCCTCAGCGCCGATGATCGATTGACGATCTTGAGAGGGCACGCCGCAACGGCACTGTGCGGCGGTGTCGACATGCTCGCGTGTCTCTCTGAGCCGGTACATAACCGACCAGGCTCAATGCGGGCGGAGCAGGGTTTCTTGCACCGACAAACGGCTGGCCTACCTGCACAAACACCGTGCTAGGATTCGGGTCATGATTTACGATCCTCTGGGGATGATGCACGAGATGAAGTCATTTGCTAGTGAGGGCTTCTGTCCGAGCTGCTTACCGCAGCTCGAGAAAGCGCGGGACCATGCCCGGCAGGCGTTCTGGGAAGGATTGCCGGGGATGTATGGATTGCCTCCGTGGGATGAATTGGAAACACTGATGGCCAATGATGTTGGAAATGATCCATTTTTTGGTGCGTCGAGACGTATCCAGATAGTCGCAGTATGAAGTCTGTGTGCTCTACATACACCCTCCCCACTTTGTCACTGTCTCCCGCTTGACTACACCTTCTCTTCGAGCACGGTGGGATCAATCGAGGGGTCAGCGTCTGTGGCCTTGCGGCCGTCCAGCCGCTTCACCTCGACGGCATTTTGGATGTCAAGCAGCCGGAAGTCTGGCAGAGTGTTCAGAGCGGAAACGTGTAGTGAGCGAGCACTGCACCTTGCACGAAGAACGTGGCAAGCAGCGGGAAGACGGCAAAGACGATGGCGGGGACGAGGAGGGTGTGCATTGTCGCGCTGTACGCCGAGACTGGACAGGGAGATGAGGCGGTTGTCCATCCAGCTTCAAATGACGATCCAACTCACCCATATCGGTGTATTCCTGCCCCGTCAATCCACGCACGAGCGTCGGCGAGCCCACGAAACCCGCGATCTGCGTGCTGTTCAGCGCCGGGACATGCTTGGCGATCTCCGCCGGCAGCCGGTTGTTCCAGATGGCGCCCGCCGCGGCCGTGCCGACGACGTTCCCGAGCTCGGCCGACAGCAGCAGTGCCGCGGTCGCCAGCGCGACGTCTTGGTGCGGCACGGCGCCTTGCGCGCCGATCTGCGACGCGAACGCAGCGATGCCGCCGCCCATGCCCTGGATGATCTGGGTCATCACGAGCGCACCCGTGCTCTGGTGCGAGCGCGCGTAGAACATGATCCCGATGCCGAGAAGCCTGGGGGAGTGTCGGTGGACGTCCGGCGGGCGTGTCGTATGCTATGCACAGGCACTCACCGGATGGCAAGAGCCGCAATCAGGGCCCGACGATAGCCCGTCTTGAATATGCCTGCGAAGACAGCCCAGCCGAGGCCGAAGAACTGGCGGCATCTTGGTTGGTCGTGCTCCTGGATTGGGGAGGGTGCGCACTCACGGTCAAGCAGAGAGACTGCGCGTTGGTGAAATAGACCAGGTTCCCGATATCCCATCGGGTCGTCGCCGAAACGAAGCCGTACAGCTCGTTGTAGCTGAGGTAGAACGAGATCTGCAGCAGCGGAGTCGATGAGACGGACCGACAAATTGCACACAACGCACGAAATCGAAAAAGTTGATCGCGCATCCCGCCAGCACGGTGCGGTTCCCCAGGACTCGCCACGGAATGACAGGGTGCTGTGCCATGCGGGCCTCCCAGAACACGAAGGCCGGGAACGTCACTGCACCACCGATGACCATCATGGCGGGCACTGCCGGGTTGTGCCAGGTCGTGGTCGCATAGGCGCCACCGGCCAGCACGATGGGGACTAGCAGCCGTTCAGTCAGGAGAGGATGAGTTGTGCATGCGGCGCACGGAAGACCAGGGCAAGAGAGCTGGCGGGGGGGATGAGTGATCGCGAGACGTATGTATGACATGGCGATGATCACGTACGCAGCGAGCAGGAACAATCCCACGAAATCCACCTCCGAGCAGAAGTTGTGCACCGTCGTTTTGACCGGTCGCGGCTCTTGCTTGTGGATAAGACCTTGAGCCTTGGCCCGACGTTGGGCCCACATCAGAGTGAAGATCTGGCGAACACGTCGAACGATGTCTGCATGAAATGGGACCCCACACTTACAATCGGGAGCAGAGCGGGGAGGTAGCAGATCGCGTAGATGCCATAGCCCCATCGCCAGCCAGGTCCACCGGCCGCGGTCAGCCTGCTCGTGATTTGTCCGTTCTAAAGAAGACACGGGTCATCGACCATCCACAGGCGGATTCAGGCGTGCCTACAGCGTAGAAGTTGATGCTGCGGGTGTAGAGTGTCATTCAAGGCTCTAGAGTCTCACAAAAGATGCCAGACGGACTCACAAGTACCAGCCGCCCGTCGACAGCCCAGAAACGATGGGCCGCCACCGGAGCGTGACGACGTCGGCGATGACGATCTGCAGCGCAATCTGCAGCCCAGAGAAGCCGAGCTCCCAAATGCACAGACCCGCACCGAGCCCGGCCATCGTAGGCGTCGCCGCGTCGATGACGTAGCCGAGGACGTAGAAGAACAGGGCGAGCTGGGGATCAATCAGTTGTTGCTGACAACGCAGCATCGAGACATGCGCACGGCGATAGCCTAGAGGCGTTGTTAGTCGTGGGTGAAGCGCCCTCGAGCTCGCACTTACCTCGGCGCGACCTGCTGCGTCTGTGAGTTTGGCGAAGAGGGGCTTGCCGATGGCGAGGAGGATGGCCATGGCGCATTGGATGGCAGCAAACTGCTGGTAGTGGCCTGAGGAAGAAGATAAGGAATGGCGGGAGACAGAGACAGAGATCGTCCGTACCAAACTGTATACTTGCGTAGCTGGAGGCGGGGTTAAGCTAGGTGTATGGCTCGAGGAAGACGAGAGGCACCTTGCCCATGCCCAGTTGGTGCCGTTGTCCAAGATGTACATGTATCTATCATGCAGAATGAGAAAACTCGCAAGCAGCATCATGCACCGAGTAACACGCACGACGCAAGCGCAATGGAGATGAACAACACTATCTTGCTCGTCGTGCCCCACACCTAATCAGACTTCCAGCTCTCTGCCATGACACACAGAACAGGGGGAGGCAGTACTCACGGCTTGGATCGCCTCGACGCGGAGGACGCCGCTCTGCGTCCCGGGAGCCTCCACGAGGCTGTCGTCGCGCTCACGCGCATCGTGCACCTTCTCGTCGAGGGACATGCAGTATCAGTCGGTTCGGGGCTCGTGAGCAGAGTGAGATCGCCGGAAGGGAAGCAGGGAAGCGAGTAGTTTTCACACATCTGTCCCCTTATGTATGAACAGGATCTTAAATTTTGACAAGGCGTGATCGCGGGACCTGATTGGGTTATCTGATAAGCCGGGCTCCTGATGATTGAAGGATTCAGCCGCATTCCTCTGCTTGTGGGCTCTCCTACGATTGTCATTGTCACGCATCGTAGTTTCTGCTCCGTTTTCCCCGACATCCTTCCATACGCACGCAGAAAATCGTATCGCCGACCGACTCGTGGAGGAGATCCAATTTTGACTTGGCATTTCATATCAGATTAGATTTTGATCATGATGTATAGCCACATCATCGGGACCGAACAAAACCGACCGGTCCTTGGGCTGGAATTTCAGAGGCTCGGGCTAGACATCCGAATCACAAGATATACGCTCTGTGATGAGCGCAGAGCAATTCCAGAACTTAATCGATCGAGCATTGCCGCCGGAGATGTATTTCATCACGGAAACTTTGCAGCCCTCTAGAGCCCTCTTGCGTGATCGGCGCATTCACACGTGCAGTGCGGCCGCCGCCACGTGTAGCTCCCGAAATTCGAAATCAAAAATCTCCCATCACGTGCCATAATTCTGCACTTCTCATTTCCCACCCACCCCAGCTTCTACCCTGTATTGGACGTCCCCAAGGGCGTCTTTTCTCTTGGGGGCGACGCACATACCTCGTACGACAGCAGATCACTACGCACTAGCTCCGTTGCTACTGCGCAGACAGACAGACACGGTGTCTTCTGGGTGATATATTGCTCCGTCTCATCTCCGCGCGAGACACTCTCTTTATTTTCTTCACATTCTTTCCTCCCCACCACCCGACCCGGACATACTCTACTTACCAGGCCCCCACGACCTGTGCCCGTAACCCGTCGTATCCGAGGCGCGGTCGCAGCTGATTCACGCATCATCAAGCGCTAGTATGTTCCGTGCCCTTCCTTTGGCTCGGGCTAAATAGCTTTCAGACGCTTTCATCCGCCCTATCTACACCATGAGTCTTCGGAAAGAACGCTCCTTTGCTTCCATCGCAGCCCTCGCGGGATTCGGGAAGCTTGCGCCGTCACCCTCACTAGCGCAGTCCTCGACCAGCACTTTCTCTGCCTCCGATAACCACAGCGGGTCTGGTGACGAGGAAGAGGAAGAGGAGGAAGAGGAGTTTGTTCCTGCTGGTCTCGTGCGGGCCACGCTAAGGATAAAGAGCGAAGGGCCGTCGAAGCCGAAGGCGAACGAAGCGGCCGCCCGTCCAAGAGCCAGCCCCGACGATACCTCACCGCTCTCGTCCATCATCACGAAAATGGACTCCGATATACCTATCAGGAAACGCGTGTCGTCGCTGTTCCGCGCGAGCAGCAAAGGCAGCAAAGGCAGTGAGTCGTCGTCGTCGTCGTCCTGCGTCTCACACGCTCGGCTCCTTCCACTGACACCCCCCTCAGGTTCTTCGAAGATGTACAAAGCATCAGCAGCCGCGTCGCTACCCGATGTGCGCGCATCTCCCTCGCCGCCACCGTCCGCGCCACCCCCGTTACCCCCCCTCCCCTTATCGAACAAGCTTGTCAAACGGCCTTCTGTCAGGTCCAAGCCAAAAGTCAAACCAACGCATCAAAAGAAGAAGTCGATACGTGACGTTTGGAGTGCGCTGGCCCACGGCCGCCGCGATAAACCGCCCCCTCCCGAGCCGCGGAAAACGCCCGATTCCGAGCTGGAAAGGGACAGTAACGACGACGACGAGGAGATCGAAATACGCCGGCCGTCCGGTCTGGGCGATGCTGCGTCTCAAGCCGACTGGCACAGGGACATGGACGGCGGAGGACTGGACCCGTCGCCAACTGACTCGCCCTCGCAGTCCGAAGGCATCCACACCCCGGAGAAACGACATGTGTTCCCGACATCATGCATCCCCGCACGATCCGAGTCGGGCGAGGACGAGCATGAAGACGAAGAAGAGGAGGACATCCGACGTCCTTCTGGCCTGGGACGTGCCGCTTCGATCGATTCGAATGAGCGGTTCTCGGTGGAAGCGGAGCGCTATGTGCGACCTTGGGAGCGGCTCGCCTCCAAGCCAAACAGAGGAACCTTATCCTCTAGCATCCTTCAGTCGCTGCTTAACATCCGGCCCTCGCCAGTGGCGCTGCCGGCGCTTCTGTGGAGGCGGATATTCTCGTTCCTGGATTCCGCCGATGTCTCCAGTGCCGCCCGGGTCAGCCGGGTCGTGTGCGACGGGGCACGTGCAAGGCTGTATGCTGTCGTCGATTTGCGGATTGCTGAAGATGAGATCGTCGGCATGATTGATGTGCTGAAGAAGACTCCTGATCTGGCTTCGAGGGTGGCGGGGTTGGTTTGTGCTGGGTGGCAGAGTTTTTACATCGATGAGGTGAGCAGAGCCACAAATGCCTTCGATCTCCCCATTCACCCATGTCTTCGCAGCTTCCGGAATTGCCAAACCTGAGCTCTCTGATGGTATTTCCAGACATACATGACGAGGGCATTGCAGCCACAGATTCCATACTCTCCTTCCTCCGAAATCACGCCACCCTCTCGCGAGTGGCTGTTGTTGGCGGGGACGACTGCACGGAAGAAGAAGAGCTGAGGCTGGACGGCGCCGACGACCGACCGTTTCTCCCCCGACTCACACATCTTCACGCTCCATTGCGACTGGCCAGTGTGATCCTGGAGCGGACCGGCGCATCTGCACCTGAGATGCCGCTATCAGAGACATCCTCGCCAGTGGACAAGACGCTGTCGCCTGAAGCGCTGTCTCTGTTGTCGCCCGATCCACCCAGTCCATGGAAGCTCCCCGGCTGGTCCCGGGCCAAGAGCGAGAGCACGGACCTGTCAGTCCTAGCAGAGCTCGATCTGCAGAAGAAGACTGTCCGGCGAATCCGCAGGAAACCAGCACCCAAGTTCGAGGTCGAGGAAGGCGGAGAGCCGGTCAAAATCGAACTTAAACGCGTTGCTTCGATCGGGAAGGCGACGCGGGCGAGGACTGTCTTCCTGCCACCCAAGTTGGTCTTGCCCCTCGTTGTCCGCGTCGTTCTCGCCAATCCTATGTATGAGGGAGGGGGTTCGGTTGGCGGAGGTCGACTCGGACGCGCGATTGCCAGTGTTTTGGCTACCCGAGGATCCACTTCCGTTGCGGCTATCCACGTGCTGCTTGGCCCGAGGGTTGAGCGCCGAACTCTGGAGAAGGTGCTGCGTACGATGGGAACGGAAATCGAGCAGGAGGCGAGTTCTCATGTCGTGTTGCTGGAGGTCCGAGCAGCCGTTCGATTATTCGAGGTGTGTTACAGACCGGCTTCATGAGCAATCGCAACTGATAACACCTCCGCAGCTGAACAAGACCATCACATCTGTGCTGCCACTGTTCTCTGGCTTGCGAACCCTGCTTCTATCCTCATCTCAGACTCGGCCGGCAGCAACACCGCAGTCATTCACGTTCCCTCCTTCCTCTCCGAGCGTCCAGTCCGTCTACCTGTCTGCGCCATCCTCACCTGCGTCGGCATGTAGCCTCGACACGACATTGTTGGCTCCGCCGGGTCTTCCACGAGCGAGGACACCAAACTCGATGCTGGGCGTGGAACCATGGGCTTGGGAATGGGACGGGTGGGTTCTGCCTCCATCCTCGTCTCCGGCGGATCCAGACTCCGGGCGATCCAGTCCCACGGGCAGCGCATACAGCAACTACTCCCATCCGCCGACCCCCACGCCGGCGAATCCCGACCAGCTCACGGCTGAGGAGCTGGCTACGGTCAACGTGTGGCGACGAGCCTGTCCGAATCTAGACCGGGTCAGGATGCTTTCCGGCTTGCACTGGTTGCGGGAAAGGCACACCATCCAGTAGGTTCTATACACTAGATAGCTATTTTATTTGCTGTCATCTGATATTCGTTTGCTGTATTATACCTTGCAATGATATTAAATACATACCCTGCATCAGGGACTGGGTGTAGATGCCATCGAGTCCACGTCCATCCTCCTCCGCTCACTAATCGCCTCCGTACGCGTCGCGAACTGTGCTAACTGCTGCCTGGGACAGCAATGAGTACCATCAACGCACGCGTCAAGACAAAAAAAAAGCCACAGCACGCACCGTTTCCGATCCCTCAACTCGACCAGCATGTCGATCACGTCGTCCTGCTCGCGAATGAGCAGCTCTCCGCCAGGCAGGTTCGTCGCGAGATCGCGCGCGCGCGCCAACGTGGTCTTGAAGTCGTTTGTCTGCCGCGTGTCATTTGCGTCGTGTGTCTGCCACCCGGAGGCGCGGCGGCTTACCGCGTGCAAGATGGCCTGCTTCGCTTGCGGGGTGAGGGGTCCGCCGTGCTCTGCTTCGGTTTGTGCTTGCGTGAGCTCGAGGACGGCGACGAGTTTCGGGAGAAGAGACGCGTAGAGAGAGGCCGGGAGAGTGGATGTCCCGATGGGTGGTAGGGCGGTTGATGCGTTGGTGTTCATGAGTGCGCGCAGTGGGCGTCAAGAGTTCTCGTGATGGATGATGGCACGGGAGACAGGAAGAAATTTGTCACGGGACTTGCAAGAGCACGTGTATCTCCCGTATGCAGATACATTCAATTTATACATTTTTATCGGACATTCACGAGAACAAACCGGAGACCAGTTTGTCACGCACACGGAACGTGAGTCAGTTGTGCACCCAGCGCGCTGTGGTTCACTACGCGCTGTCGCGCAAAGCATGCGCTCTCGCAAAGAATACATGAGGCCGAAATGATAACATTACAGCAGCTATGGAGAGACCCCAGGACTGGAAGGTCCCACTCCCTTAGATAACCAGTAATCCCTTTTGGTAGCAGAGGACACAGAGCTCGAGCTCGACACACGGCTCATCCCTGCTCGCTTGCTCGGAGGCTTTGTAGAGTCCTTCGCAGGTGGAGCGACATCCTCCTTGCCGACGTCACTGGCAGAGTCCGACGCGGCAGCAGTAAACGTCACAACACTGCCCTCGTTCCGCCGTCGTTTCTTCGACACGATTGCATATCTCCCCTCAGACGACACATGATTTCCCCGCTTTTGTCCGCCTCCTTCGTCGACATCACGCGGTGCGGCGATATCCGTATCCGAGTTCTGGTCAGCCTGGGCCCAAATCTGCTCAACGATCTCCTTGTTCTCGTCTGGTGTTCGAGTGCCATTGACGCTGGATTCCTTCGAGCGATCCGCAGCGGAGTCGAGACCCGAAGTCGAGACCGGTTTCTTGCTCTTCTTCTTCTTTCGACTCTTCTTCTTCTGGGGTACCTCTCCCTCCTCAGGCTCTTCCTCGGGTTCCGATGGTGGCCGCACTATCTTGCTCGTCACACCTAATGCCCGATGGAGAGCGCCGCCATCGAACACCTCCTTAATGAGTGTCCGGTTGTTGATCGTCTGCGACGATTGTCAGTCCGAGCAAAGAGCGTAGCGCGAAACACACAAACCTCTTGCGTGATACCAAGGATGCTCCCAAGGATAGTCAGATCCTCCGCGTCATATCGATCTCGAAGCTTGAGCGCCCGGCCGTGTTTTCTTGACTCGACGATACCCGCACGCAAGTAGATGGTGGCCGTGAGGACTTCGTGGGCACCGCCCAGATGTCGTCGGACGTTAGGAAAGTTGTACGAGCCAGCCGAGATGTCGTTGACTGGAAAGCGATAAGAGATGCTGACTTTCACGGGAACCCCCAATAGACGCACATGGATCCCCCGGTCTTCAATCGACAGCATACCATTCCGTTTCTGTCCGTTCCGGAAATCCCATCCTCGCTGGCGCTTCGAGAAATAGGCGCCGCCTTCCCGAACGGAGATGCCGACGTCGTCATAGTTGAATCTCGTCCCATAAAGCTCGAAAAACTCCATCACCAGCACGCCCAGATTCTCATCTGGATCGATGAGCCCGAACCGGATCTGCGGGTGCATCTGCAGAAACGAGATGACCAGGCAGACAATCGCGTAAGACCCGAGTCCGCCCGTGAACACTTCGTTCATCCCTCGCTGGGACAAGAACAGCTTCGTCATGAGCACAAGTGCTCGGAGTGCCAGACAGTCGTTGCGGGCCGCGGCCCCTCCGCCCCGGATCTCGCGCAAAAACGAGTTGATCATCTCCCCCGCAACGAGGCCGTTCTCCTGGTTGATGCTGATGTCGACGTTCAGACGCCCATACTCGCCTGTCGTCACGAATTTGATGATAGGCACTTTGGCTTTCGCGATGACTTGCACCTTGTGTGTCAGCCCGCTGTTCCTGATGGTGGCAGCGAGAGAATGAAGGACCGTCTTCGGGTTGTGGTACGCCATGGATGGAGAGCGGATGACCAAATCGATGTCGCTGTGCAGTCACGATGAGGCAATACGGGTCATCCGCGAGATGAGACGCACCCAAGTGGTAGATAGAGCTTGGTCGCGTAGCTCCCGAAAGGCAAAACTTGAGCATCAGCGTAGGACCGCGTCACACACCGAGTAATGAGCTGCAACACAAGTCCCCGGACTTCATCTTCCTCCGGTGTCGGGGCAATCCATTTGACAAACGCCTTCACCTCGCGATGAAACCTACGACTGGTCAGTAAGCTGACAAAACCAAGTGAGAAGCGCGGACGCACATTTCGGAGGGTGTCTTGCACACGTCCCAGTCTACATCGTCCACCCACGGTGTTAGGCGCCCGGTCGCGTCCGTGCGCTGTCTTCCTCTCGGGGGCGGGCGATCCTCGGGGTCAAATACCAGGTCGTATTTCCGGGCGCCCTCTGCACTTCCTCGACTCCCGGACGGAAGCGGCGGGGGAGATGTCGACGGTTCACGCCGTTCTCTCCGACTGCCACCGCCGTCTTCATCCCCAAACTGCTCTCTCTCTCTCTCCTTCCCCTTCCTGTCGCGTCTGGAGTGCGAGTCGCGAGCTGCATCCTCTTCATCCTCGTCGGATACGGGCCCCAACGCGATGAAGTCCGACCCGTCCGCAAAGGACGCGTCTGCAGTCGATTTTGTGTCTGTGCTCGCGATACCTTTTTCAGGCCTTTTAGTCTTGTGTCGGCGGGATGGAATCTCGACCGCCATCTAGTTGTGTGCGCGTTTATGTGGTCTTCCAGTGTGCCGCGGGTCAGGCGCGGGATAAAAATGTCGATATATGCGTTGTATTTGGTGACTCAAGCTAGTGCTGAGAAAAGTCGACGGTCGGTGAGATGACCGGCAGTCGCGAGTAGGGACGGGAGAGGACCAAAAAGGTCGGTGACACTGCCACATGTCAATCTCTCCAGTCACCACCACCAGCCTTTCTATCTTTGCCGATTCCACACAAATCTCGATAGCTGTCAGAGCTCGCCGAAAATACTTTTTTACCGCTCTTTCTGATTGATAAATTGCAGAATATGCGCCTGCGAATGTTTTCTAGAAAACAAGGATCTCAGGTTGACCCTGCAATGCTTCAACGCGCGACGACTCCCGCGCCCTAATTCAAACTTTTGAACTGCTGTATCATTACAACCAAAATCGGCAATGTACACAATGTCCAGATAAATCTACGACCTAATTCACCTTGATAACCACCTTGCCAATGTGAGCCTGGCCGCTCAAGCGCTTGAACGCCTCTTTCGCCTGCTCGAATGGGAAGACCTTGTCGATCAAAGGCCGCGTAACTTCAGGGTTGGCCGCCATCAGCCTACCAAGATTTTTGAACCTGCATTCACACACGTCAGACATCGGAACATCATGGTGGATGGGGCAAAGGACGCACTGCTCGACGGAGCCGACGTAGATGCCCCGGAGTTTCAGGGACTTGAAGAGTGCGGACGGAATGATGGACACGGGGGCTTGGCCAGGCTTGGGGATCGTTAAGCAAGGAATGACAGATGCCACTGGCACGTTGGAACACTCACAGCTCCAGCCAGACCGCCCATCACGGTAACCGAGCCTCCCATGCGCACAGACGCGATGCTCTTGCCCAGGGTCGCCTCGCCACCAACCTAACACGCGATCAGCAATGTAGGCAAAAAAGACAACAACTCAATCCCGACGAACCTCGACGACTTGGTCCACGCCACGGCCGTTCGTCAGCCTCATCACCTCCTCCTCCCAGGCGGGTGTCGTCTTGTAGTTGATAACGTGCGCGGCCCCGAGGCGTTTTGCGACCTGCAGCTTCTCGTCGGACGAGGAGGTCACGATGACGCTCGCGCCGGATGCGACGCCGATCTGCAGCGCGAACCTGGAATAAGTGTCAGATATATGCGAAAGAACGGATGGATTGGGCTGGGCTCACGTCGAAACGCTTCCAGTGCCGAGGACGAGAATCGAGTCGCCGGCTTTGAGTGGTGAGAACCCGCCCATGAGGGCGTTGTATGCAGTCACAGCAGCGCATCTGTAAGACCAAAGTGAGCCTGAGAGGCGCGGCGAGAGAACAGAATCCCACTCACGGAAGGGTCGATGCCTCCTCATACGACAAGTGATCGGGGATCTTCACCAGCGTCTGGGCGCACAGTCAGATGAGCTTGACTCGGCAGCGACATTAGATGGAGACATACGTGCGTAGGGTACGTCCGGTACTCCGTCAACGTGCCATGCACCGGCGCGCCAAGCGCGCTGGCCTTCAAATCCGTCGTGATAACGTCTCCATGCAGCGTGTCCACGAAGTTGGGACTGACGCGGTCCCCGATCTTGAAGTCCGTCACGCCAGGGCCGAGCGCCACGATCTCGCCCGCGACATCCGAACACGGTACCAGGTCTGGAATACAGCTATGGTGGCACATGAGCGGGCGAGTTTGCTGGAGTACAGTGTGTTCCTCACCCGCCAGGGTACGTGTTGTTGATCACCATGAGGTCGCGGAATTGGACAGATACGGCGTGCGCCTTGAGGAGGATCTCGCCCGCCTTGGGCTGGGGGACAGACGTCTCGGTGATGATGAGGTTGTCGATCGAGCCAGTCTGGAGGGAATGTGAGTGGCCGCCCAGCACATTCTATGCAGGCGAGATTTGCGCCTACCTTGGGAAGGACGTATTGCTTGCAAACGGAGGGGATGCTCATTTTCGTTGTTCGTTCAAGTTCGAGGGAGTAAAAAGGGAGAGAGGGGAGATTGTCTGTGGAACGATCGAATCCGGCGACTACTTATGTGGAACCTTAGCGCCTGGACACATCGCGTCGATAGGAGCATGAAGGCCGGCCTGCTTCGGTGTGAACGAGTCTGATCGACGATTGGTCAGGATCGCACCTCGGTGGATTTACAGGGAGGGAGGAAAATTGGGAAGGTATTTGCTAAGTTACTAAGACTGAATCTTCGTCATGCTGCATGCCGTGCCGATCAGCGTCGTCATTGACAGATCAGAGTTCATTTTAGCGATAAGATAAGATAAAATGCATTATAAAGCCCACCTACAGCATTTAGCGCCTCAGGGTCCCACGGTCTACTACCCGTGACGGGTCCACCTGGGAGTTTGGGGTCGTTCGTCATTGCATAATGAGGCTTTGGGACCTCCTCGCAATTGTTTTCTCGTGCACGCCTACTACACGAAGAGCGGTCGGATGACAGAGAAGAAGTTCTGGGCCAGGGTTGCGAGACTTCTGGAGCGTTCTTTACGCTCTCGGGATCAGATGCCGAGACTCGCTGCACTGCTTGCCGAAATAATCAGCAGCCGTGAGGACGTTCTTTTCGTTCTCGGGAGAACTCGCGGATCTGCGCCACGAAATGAAGAGACGGCCTTTCTGTTCAACCAGCCTCATTGCAGCTGACTACTTCTACTGATGACATTCCACTGATTTGCGACGCCCGTGTCAATCCAGCTCGTCCACCGGCACATCTCTGAGACCCTTAGCCGCTCCCTTGATATTGGCTGCGCCGGTTTTCTCGAATCCCGCAAGCGCTGCGGCTATGTTTTGCGCGATAGAGGCCTCTCCAGCGGCTATAATCTGCGCGATCCCGTCGCTCGCCTTGCTCCCGCCGACCTTGGGCAGGCCGAGCGCGGACAGTTCTCGCAAACCTTTAGCCACGCCTTTGATGTTGGCGGCGCCGTGCTTCGTGCTCCCGGCGAGCGCTGCGGCCGCGGCATGTGCGATCTCGGCTTCTGCGGCTGCGATGAGGTGCGCGAGGCCGCCTGCGGGAGGAACTGGTGCTGCCCGCGCGGCTGGCGCAGACGTAGCGAGAAGCAGGGTCGAGACAAGGAGAGTCGAGAGCATGACGAGTGTTTAGAAGAGGGTACGATAATGAAGTTGAAAGGGCTGTTTGAAATCGAACAGACTGCCAGGTGGGTGAGCTTTGATGCGACTGCCGTGAATGATAGCCGAGCACATACCACGCAGTATCTGGAGGCGACCGAAGAAAGGATTGGTGAGAAATACACTCGCGTCTCCCATCCATTTATACTCTTTCCTCGCAAAAGTAAAATATCAGATCCTCGAAATACCATCCCCGCAAGGCATCGTCGATCAAGAGTGCGCTGTGATCTTCGTCTGATGCTGTTTGGTTGTTCCAGATCTGAGATAAGTGCTCGCCAGCTACAATCAGTAAGTAGGTCATTATTGACTTTGTCATAGCAATTATTCTGAAGGTTTGCTGCGACCATATAGCAGGCATGCGCATCTCAACTGCTAGTCGGCCGTACTCAACTAGTTTAAGATTCGCGGAGCTGCACAATCGAGAACGACGAGTTGCGATAGTAACAGCTTTGAGCCAGTTACCCGTAACTCAATTGAATTGTGCCGAGGCACGATAAAGATTGCACTCGTGAGATGTGAGCATCTTTCTCAATAGCAGTCGTAGTCATTTGTTCGGCGTGGTCAAGTCGCAACAGGATGGACACGTCGAGGCATCTAGATTGTTTCGATCGCAAGTGACTGTCTCCCATCTTAAATGTGAGCCATTGCTACGAAGGCGGCGGGCGATTGTATTCCAAGCGGATTGGTAAAGGGAAGCTGCCTCAATCACCCCTCGCTGGATAGTGACTACCTGGCACATATTTGGTCGTCCAAGATAAATCCCAGTTATGATCATGAGCTGCCCTTTGCCTTTTAGTCTTGAGATCAAATCGTTCGTTTTGTCTCCTCACCTGAGTGAAACGAAAGGGAGACGCAGCTTGCATTTCCAAGGCTTTTATTCAACACCGCAGAAAAAAGCGAGTTATCATCTCTTCTGCTTCTTCCACTGCCTGCCTCCATCTTCCCTGCGCTCACCAGTATCCCTAACCGGGTCTGAACTCTGGCCGTTCGCTCGCTGCACCGCAGCCAAGCGCACTTTCTCAGGTACCTTCTCCCAGTATATCTCCTCCCGCGTGCCTTGCACCAGTTCCGCAACGATCGCCTTGCCGTCTGCCTCGCTGCTCCCCAATTCGTCTAGCCCGGTTGTTTGAACGGTTCGCTTTGCGGTGAAGTGCTCAACCAAGGCGCGCGCATTATCGGGGTTGATGAGTCGTAGATAGCACTGGAAAACATTAGATCAGTTGTTGAGAGACGCACAAGAAAGACGGCGCACAGAGTCCATGTTTTTATTGAAATCTACGTAGTCGAGCGCGTCTTTCGACTCGACAGTCGTCAGGAACAACTTTCGGAGCGTCGTCTTGTTGGTATCGGGATGGATATTCCGCAGGAAAACCAGACAATTTTGGGGATACCAGGCTGGTGCGGCCGACGCTGATGCCGATGCAGAAACTATTCGCGGTGGAATTTCTTTCCCAGGTTGGAGGGGTTTCGTTAATTCGATGACTGCGTCAGATTTCGTCGTCTGGGAGTTCGTGGTTTGGAGCAAGCTGGCCCGATACACGAGATATTCAGCATTTAGCTCATCCCACCTCCTTTTCGATAGCGCCCGGAACCCGAACTTCACTGCTTCAGCAGCATTCGAACTCTCTTCAACTCGGGAAAGATCGCGCTGCCACGGCCAAGCTTTGACCAGTGCCTCCGCCTCATCGATCTCGGAAAATGTGATCAGCGCAAACGGCTTCGGAGTCGGCTCGGTGTCTTCATCGTCGGCATGATGTGGAGGGATGGACATGCCCTGGATCCGCGTGTATATAGACGGTCCGGGTGGCAGCAGTGCAGACACAAATCTCACTGCAGACGGGAACGTTCGATATGCGACCGGGATATTTTCCTGTCCCGGGGTCATTTCGGTGTATGGGGAGTATAGATTTTTGTTTTAAAAAACGCACGACATAGACTGTTCTCCCCTCCCAGTCGTCCCGAGTAAATACGCACGCATCATCGCCTTCCTCCCAAAACTTGGGTTTCACCTCGAAATTCCCACGGGCTTTCGAGTCAGCTAGATTCATCCGCACGTCGACGATATCCGTTCCCCGAGACCGAAGGGCTTTCACAACAGCCATTTCAGGCTCGTGCGCGTACTTGAGTATACACGGATGTGTGAAGAGAACGTTCAGTGGGAAAACTGTTCGGAGAGGGATGTCAGACGAAGTGGGAGGAGGCAGAAGTTGCAAACACTACTCACAGCCGTCGCGAGTACTCTGATGCACCAGCCGCCGCAGACCAGGGTCGCGGAAGAGCGCAAACTGCGAAACGGAAAGGCATAACATGATTTTATAGTCTTCCTCCGAATAGACCACTTTCGGTCTTTCATTGATTGCAGATGTAGCTGCAGACCCTTCGAGCCGCCCGTCTCGGTATTCTCTCGTGTTCGGGAGTAAGAATTCGGCCTTCGGTGCGGAGGATTGAGAGGCAGTCGGAGGGGGTGGCTTGGAGATTTTTTGAGATATCTTGCGAGGTACAAATGAGAACGGCTCGTCCATCTTTCTGCGCAATTCGGGTGAGATGAGTGTCGGGAGTACGTGCCGAGCCCCTGGTCACTCGCATCACGGGAACGCGATTGGTTATCACGTGATCCGCTCACGGCGGACTGAGCCTCCGTAGTCGAGAACATTCCACTGTTCATTGTCAGCGCCAACCGCCAAACAACAGCGGCCTTGTTACGCATCGTGAACGGCGTCCGCGCTGAGCCAAGGGATCACACCGAATTCAATGGGCGTTGACAACTCTACGAGCATTCTCGCCCGCTCTAAGCCGGCTTCAAACGCGCGCGGACCGGTCGCATCAAAGGGACCGCAGTAGTTGTCAGGCTCCATGGAGCCTCTGTGTACGCTTCTCTGATTATCGCTGGGAACGTCTAGAAAAACTGTCTCGGTTATGTACGTGCAGAACTTTGACGCGTCATGGCCGAGCATAAAAACATGGCCTGTTTTCTCTCTCACACCTACCGGAGATGCTATCCTCCCCCTCACCGCTGTTACTGCTCCCCGTCGGAGGCTATGCGCTTCTGATGCTGGGATGGAGAGTCATGCGCGGCGTCTCTCAGCGCAAAGAAGTCAGCCTGCCGGAGCTCGACCTCTTCACGAAGACTCGTCCGCCCCAGGAGAAGATACCGGGCACTGCGCTCATCTGCGGTGGAAGGTGCGTCTATGTTGTCCAGCCGCTTCATCCTGGACGTGTGCTGACGTCCCCCAGCATCGCCGGTCTGCTCGCGGCTCGCGTCTGCCACGACCATTTCGAGCGCGTGATTGTCGTGGAGACAGAGGAGTGGCTGTTCTCCGACGAAGGGAAGGATATGAACACGGCCAAGCAGCGGAACCGCTTGGTCCAGTCGGTCTCATTACACGGTGAGCATTCCAAAGACTTGCCGGTTTGCTCAAGGGGCTCATGTCCAGATAGTCTGGCAAAGCTTCGTAGTCGACGCTTTCGAGCGCCTGTTCCCGAAGCTGGTGCCCGAGTGCGAGAAGTGTGATATCCCGTGTGTTTGCCTCTTCCTGATCCTCATCCACGAGCCGCTGACATTCGACAGCATCCGGCCTTTCAAGCCTCTGTACCGGATCGGCGGCGTCCCGCTTCTTCTTCCCCCAGCCGCCTTTTTCGGGGGGACACTGCCGCTGACCTTCGATACGAGCCGAGCGGGATTCGAGACCATGCTCAGGTGCGCACTTTGTCGTGTTTTCACTGAACTTGATGCGAGCAACATACTAGACGACTCGTCATGGACCATGACATGTACCCCAACATCGAATTTGTCAGCGGGACTGCCACAGATGTGATTCCGGACCCCTCAAACCCAACGCGGCTCAGCAAAGTCGTCGTTCGGATGGCTGCGGACGGGGCTTTGAAGGAATTCGAGGCGGCTTTGGTTGCCGGTAAGTGAAGGCGTCTGGAGGTTCTCTTGGTTTCTAACTAGCGCGTCCAGATTGCACTGGACCGACCCGCGCTGGACTCAAATGGCTCTCTAGAGCAGGCTATGGGATCCCGTCGTCGATCAAAGGGAAGCTGCCTCTGGATGAGTTGAAGATCGTGGTCGACCAGAAACTCCACTACTCATCGCTGACTTTCACCATCCCCGAAACGGTGTACTCGCAACTGCCCATCCCCGCTGAGTACCGGGAGCAGTCTCTGCCGTTCGTTTTCATGGAGGGCCAGACGCCGACGACGTTGGCGAAGGGAAACGCCATCTTCATCCTTCTGCGCGTGCACGAGCAATGTGAGTGTGCCCGAAACGTTCCCTACCCGTACTACCACGCCTCATTTCCACACAGTGATCTTGTTTACTGGCCATTACGGCGACCAGCGTGCGCAGGCGAAGACGCTGGCCGAAGCGAGGGAGTATGTACATGACCTGGAGGCTGTGCAGCCCATTCCCGGGTGGGTGTTCGAGACATTGGACCGGCTGGAATCCCTCGAGCTCGGACCGACCGCGTCTGTGTTCCGCGTGAATCCGACCAGTTACATCCGCTACCATCTCGCCGGCAATCTCCCGTCGAACTACGTCGCATTGGGCGATAGCGTGATGAATGGTGAGAGCGCTGTTTCCTTCCTTCCCATGGCGTATACTAAACCGGCGTAGTGAATCCTGTTTATGCGGAAGGAACGAGTAAAGCTACGCGCTGTGCTCTGGCCCTCCAAAAGACCCTTCTGCAAGTTCGCGGTCGGTCACTTCCGCCAGACTTCGGATCCACGTTCTTCCACGAAGAGCACGAAAAAACAGGCTGGACGTGGGAGGGAACGCGTCTGAACGGTGCGCGTTATCTCTCACTCGCCGCAGTCGCCATCTGACTTGCTTGGAGATTACGGTCATCCGCAAACACAGCCTCTTCCCGGCGAGAGCCTCTCGTCCGGTGCACCTGTGCGCTGGTACTTCCAGCGCTTCCTCCGCCTTGCTGCATCCGTGCGTCCAATGTCCTCATCTGTGAGACTGGGTGTGACTGATGAATATGCTCTAGGATAAGGATGCTGCCTGGGCTATCTACAACATCCAGACTGGACTGGGCTCGCCGATTGACGCGTTGAACCCACACATCGTGGCCAAGGTATTGTGGCGGGCTTTGGTCGGCGTATGAACGCTATGGTAGCTGGCAATTAGACACTTGAGCAGCCTCACAACCAGAACGGATTTCAATCTGGCTATTGCCAAATCCGGCGCACCCTGTATTCATCCTGCGCCTCTCGTATATAGAAGCCACGAAAATCGATTTCATTGCTGCGGTTTAGGTGAAGAGGCTCTACCGAATCCGGTGCCGGAGAAGCCATTGATATGGATTGATGCCACAGCTGAAGAGGGAAAGAACAGCAAAAGAGGCTGCGCTATTGCACATGATGATGATGGGACATCTGGCGTATATGGGAACACGTGCCGCCGTTAAATTTGTCTCCAGTCTCGGCGAGAGTCGCGAGACGGTTCCCCTCACAACCCTTCCGAGACCATTTCAACGCGACCCCGTGCTGCTACTCCCAGGTCACAGGGATGAGCTGAGGCTCACGCGATGCGAACACTGAACGCCGCAGACAGGAGCATTCCAGCGCTCAGTCCTCAACAAGCGGATCGATGCTCGTTCCGCGACAGCAGTCGATTCAATCTGTTGTCGTCGCCAGGACATAATGGTCCGTTGTGGCAAGAGACATGAGCGCATACTCGAGATCGAGAATGCACTTCCTGCCCCTAGCTATAGCCTAGCGCTCACCTCACTGCGTTCCCCACTTCCTTTCCTCGCTGCTCTGACCTCATGTAAGCATCTCGGCTCGAGACACATATAAGACTCTGACGCTGCGGGTTAGGGATATTCATACACACACTGGCATGCGCATTGGCTCGCCCCCACCACCGTCGTTCCGGGCCAAGATCGCCCAATTCGAATCGAAAGGCGGTGTCCCTATCCCCCGAGCAGGATCCTCCTTCGGGATCAGTGTGCCCGCGCCCAAACAGCCCGGCTCGTCATATACAGGTGGAATGATGTACGGCAACATCATGAAACCGGTGTGGTTCCCGTCTGCTCCCGCTTTCAAGGAGAGCAGGACGATCTTGGAGGTGGACAAGGTGCCCCATGCACGGAAAGCAAGCACGACGCATGAACCTCCGGCGAGAACGGTGCGTAGGTGCATGCAATGACAATCCGGCGTAGTCAATGAACTCTGCAGACATCGCAACAACTTCCCTCGCCGCCTGATTCGCCGGCTACCTCAGACAGTCGACCAACGTCGCTACGATGCGTCACCCCGTTGATTATAGAGCCGGAGTGCGACGACATAGAACGTATCGATTCTCAACTAGATCCGAACTCGATTGTTGCCAAGTCCTCGACCAACGCCTCCGATGAACGCGAGCAAACACCGTCCATTCAAGAAGAGCTGAATCTTTGCGTGGAGTGGCTTGACGACAACTGCTGGCAGATGCTGCCATTACCCCCCACCCCCGACTACGGCCTCACACTTTTCACTCTTGACCGAGGACCCTCTCCCATTCTGGTATCGGAGTCACCCAAAGAGTTCGATTTCAGCGTGAGCGACCTCGCAGGCGACACGTCAATATCACAGGTGCCAGGAGACGACAGTCCAGATGTTCTTGCTGTCCTCGTGCACGGCCCTGAAGCCGGCACCTCGAACTCCACGGCAGACGCAGACGACCTTGGGCCGTCGTCACCGTCCCTTCCATCGTCTCCGACGACGCCCGGAAGCGAATTCGACTCCCATTCAGACGCCAGCGATGCGGAGATCCAGTACGCTGCGATAGCTCTGGCGGCCCCGCCGCCCTCGACAAGATTCTTCGAGCGGGGAACCCAGACGTTCTCGGCTGTCGTCCACGCGCGGATGCGCGATGAGCAACCGGCGAGCAATGGCCTTGAAGCCGAGAAGCATCTTCCGCCAGCCCCGAGCCCTCTGAGCCCCGGATTCCCGGCTGAGCTGCGGGCGCTCGTGCAGGAGTCCGCGGTGCTGGAGCGGAAGCTGCTTGCGGGCGAGCTGCCCACCGACGCGTCGAATCGGCTCAGCTGCCATGTTGTCGATATGACAGTGAGCTTGCCAGCTCATAGAACGGCTCTGACTCCCGAGATGGTTCGGAGAGTGACGCCCTGGGCGTATGCCGAGGTAGAAGAGGTGGTGAAGCTCAAGAGCAAGCATTTTTTCCGTATGCCTTCGATACTGCGGCGGCGAAAGGTCCAATTGTAATATGTATATCGTTTTTTGCTCGTTTGGTCGGTGATAGTGAAAAGCTCCAACCGATATTGGATCTTGGTTTGAAACCTGAAAGCGGATAGGCGCTGATGCGGTCGCCCGAGGCGGCTCCGAGCCTCCGAACACTTCCCACGACAGATGAAATGCGGTCGGACCCTTGGTATCATGCGATGTCAGAAAAGTGGCATGCTGCTGGGTCGCGAGGGTGCCGTAAGTAAGTTCAAACGAGTGGACAGCCACCATCATTTTATAGACCAATTTCAAACCCAGACATGTTCACGACAGAAGCTCTGCAAAGCCGCCCATCCGACGCCTCGGCGCATCCCGGTGTCCTCGTCCCAGCTACTATGCAGTCCGATGAGCTCGCCGCCATCCGCTTCGATTAGTGGTGCCCCGCTGTGCCCCCAATACGTCCAACAATCGTGCATGAGCGCCCCAATCTCACTGTTATCCATGACGTCCTGGCCGGGACACATCCCTCTGAAGCGCCCCTCGCTGATGAAGAGCGTGTCGTAGCCCGTCTTCGTGCCCGGAACGACGGACTCGAGGTCATCTGAGCCCGGGTGGCCAATGCAGAGCAACCGCGCACGGGACTTGAGTGCGGTGTGGGAGACGGGAACGAACGGGAACGAAGAGGTGGAGGAAGAAAGTGGGGAGGATTCATGTGGGGAGGGCTCCGCCGCGACTATGCGGAGCAAAGCCAGATCTAGACGCGCGTCCCAGACGATCCACTCCGCGCGCACGACGCGTCCGTCTGCGAAAATCATCATCCGGCCGGGGCTCGCGCCCTCCCGCAGCTCATCCGCATCCTCCGCAACGCAATGCGAACACGTCAGCACCAGGCCCGACTCGTCGATGCACACTGCCGTCCCTGCCTCTTCCTGCGCGAACACGAGCGTCGCTGCCAGTGCGCGTGCGTACGCCCGCAGCGATGCTGTCGAGGAGGGCGGATTCGGGCTGTAGGCGCGCAGCCATGACCGTTTCTTGTTCAGGACACGCAATTCGTATGCCGTGAGACCGGTCGTTTGACGCGTGAGATTCTGGAGGATCCCGATGTCATCCGAGCGCACTGCTCTCATTCGGATGTGGCTTTGGGCTACCGGGGTCTTTGACCAATTGCCTCTTAGACCCGGCACTTCTTTCTCTGACATTGTTTCGCGCAGAAAGGTGGATAGAGAGAGACAATCGTGTCGGCGCGTCAAGCCGTGATGAGATGACAATCGACATTAGACGCCCCCTATTTCCTATTCGGTACTTGCCGCACCTTCTCCCTCGACCGTCATGACCTCGCTCTCTATCGACTCGTACACGGTCTGGATACTCGTCGACGGTGAATCTTCCCCAGTCTATGAGCCACGCGTCCTCAATAGGACCTCTGCCACATGCTGGATATCCTCGCACGCGGGCAAGGTCAGTCACTGGCGCTTGTCGGGTGCCGCACGGGCGCTAAGTGTCCTCCAGAGCTTCTCGGTGAACTGGAGCAACGCTTATCGGGACCGGAGCATCCTTGCGGAATTGACGATCGACGGCGTGCTGTGCAGCACGCACTTCATGCTGGACGCCATGTCGTATCCGTCCGACCCCAGCGCGATCGGAGTGTCCTATGCCACCACGTCGGACTTCACGCAGAGGGATTTCGTGTTTGCACCAATCGAGGTCACTGGTGCGTGTGCTTGCTAGCTGCGGGCAGAACACCGGGCTGACTGAATGTGCGTCGCAGATGACGACGCGTATCTTCACACGTTAGACGCTCCACCCGCCTTTGGGGTTATCAAGCTTGAGCTCTGGGAAGCCGACATCCGGAATGTCAGACGGACTGAGTTTCGACACCAGTACGGCTCGACCGTCCTCGAGGGACAGACGATCCACGAGAGGTCCAAGAAAGCCGGCGCTCATCACGTCAAGTGTGTCAGCCGCCCACCTACCCTCCAAGTCCTTCACTCAGGCTGATTGCGTAGATTTGGTGGAGAGTACGTCGTTGCCCCGCGGCAGGTCAACATGATCGACGCCCAACGTAAAGGCTCGGAGGCTCTGGCGACGTTTACATTCAACTACCGGCCTCGTGGTCCGTCCTGCTTTTTCCGTCCGTTCGTGTGTGGACTCAATCCATCCACAGACATACTCATGGCTGGAGGTATCATCTCGTCACCCGTTCCCTCGCCGGTGAAAACCGAGCCAGTAGATTCGCAGATCCTTGGTCTAGAAGTGAGCCCGGGTGCAATGGTTTCTTCGTTCTCCTGCTGATACGTCTGCAAGGCACAGTTGAGAGCTCTGCGCGCGCAGAAATCTGCAGGTTCGGCGCCGAGGGTTTCGACTATGGCACATCCACGAACTGGGCAGTCGGTGCAGGTCATCGATCTGACTGATCTATAATAAGTACTGTCTGCGCGTCCCGATCAACAACTACCCTGGAGTCTTAACGCCTCATCTGTATTCACTCACAATTGCTTGTATCTTATCATGCATGTACTCCCTCGCATTCGATCTGCTGTCCTGCATTGGCTGTCCCATCCGCAGTCTGGGGGTTACAGCCCCATTGATGAAAGGATCTCTCTTCCAGACAACCAAGTGACCGTCAAGCAAAAGACCTGAGATTCATAGTCCAATGTTCCGGGATTGCAGTTTTTCGGTTCGATACACTCGTCTCAATGGACAAAATCCGTATTGCCAGAGACGTGAAGGCTTGATACTCGCACTAGAATTGTCAAGGAATTCGAGAGCTGCTCAAGCACGTTTGAGTCAGCCGACCAATCTCGCGTGTTCCGACATGAGCCGATGATTTGACCAGCGATCAAAGAGCTGTATTTGCGAAAGATGGCGGGAAATGCGTTTTAGGGACGAGCTGTTCTTACACTACGTACCATCAGGATTTGTTCCGTTGATTCACCGGTTGTACCAGACGGGTTTGCAGCAGAGACATCCATCATCGGCTTTAACTTGCAGACTGATCTTCCGTTTCCTCCATAATGGCCGCATCAGCCTTTGCAAGACAAGGGCGAAAGGTCTGCGCTCTGTCTCGTCTTTTCCCGGTCCAAGTAACCCTGGTATAGATTGTCGCCATTGGCCGCAACTACGCCGAACACATCAAAGAGCTCAACAACACCGCTCCCAAGGAACCGTTCTTCTTCCTCAAGCCGACGACGAGCTACGTGCAGTCCGGTGGCAGGGTGGAGATCCCCACCGGGATCATGGCGCATCACGAGGGTGCGTAGGTCGGGCGGAACGCGACACGCGTGCGGCTGACCGGGCGCGCAGTCGAGTTGGGCGTCGTCATCGGGAAGGGCGGTCGGGACATCTCCCACCGGGACGCCGACGCGCATGTGGCTGGCTACGGTGCGTCACGCGCTCCGTGTCTCGTTCCGCTCATTCAGACGGCGAACAGCCCTCGCCGTCGACATGACAGCGCGGAACCTCCAGGACCAGGTGAAGAAGAAAGGACTGCCGTGGTCTGCGGCCAAGGGCTTCGATACTTTCACGCCCATAGGGTCGGTGGCGGTTCTGTTCCTCAGGACGCGTCTCAACGGCCGCACATAGATCCTTTATTCCCAAGGAGAAGATCCCCGACCCTAATAGCCTGGCCTTGACCCTCAAGATCAACGGCGCATTCAAGCAGAACGGGAAAACAGCGGACATGATCTTCAAAATCCCGCAGCTTATCGAACATATCTCCTCAATCATGACGCTTGAGGCGCGTTCTCAAAAAAGACGTGTGGGTTCCCGCTGACGCTTATTGACAGGAAGGAGATCTCGTACTGACCGGAACACCCTCCGGCGTCGGGAAGGTGTCTCCTGGAGACAAAGTCGAATGCACACTGGCGGACTCTGCCGGCGCAGAGCTTGCCACGCTCGACTTTGTGGCGGTCGCCAGACAGGGCGGATACGAATTCAAACCCGAATAGGAAGGACGAGTACATCTTACATGACATACTACGACATTCGTTTATCTCCCTGTGGACTATGTGGATCAAAGGGCTCCGAACCCGCGTCATCTGAACCGGAACCGCTGGCAAACGTCCAGCTGCCGGTCGGCGTCAGCTCGCCGTCTTGAATTGACGATGACCCGTGGAATTCTCCGAAGTCGCCGAAACTGTCGAAAGCCGTATCGTCCATCTCGTCAGCGAATGAGAACGCATCAGAACCAGAATCTGAAAAGGGCCCGAAGCCATCCTGTCGAAAACGTTTGAGCACTAGCTGTTGCAGATCGACGGACACGCACGTCATCTGCGAATGGATCTGAAGCACCGGGCTCGAAGGCGTCCTGTATAATTGTGAATGGCGGCAGAAAGAAAGGTGAATGTCCTTACATCGAAGCCAGAAGCACTCAAAGGCCTTCGTTCCGGGCGACCAGTCGCTGGTGGCTGGCCGAGGGAAAATTTGGACTGTGATAACCATCCTCCGTTGGAGTCATCCTCGTCGTCCGAATCGAATGAATCTGAGCTTTCGTAGAACTTTTCCAAGTCAACCGTTGGTTCCCAAAGGTGGTGGACAATCAACTCACTGCAGCTGACCGGACTTCGAAGCCGTCGTTTTCGTTAGCATCTGCAGGCCCGAAATCAGCGCTGCCCTCCCGCCTCGGACGTGACGAGCTGGCGCGTTTGAACTCGCCCTTGACATTTGCGTCGCTGTCGGATGTTGTTGCCGCTGTCGTCGTTCCTGTGACTGCGGTTCCAGTGGTGTCTTCCTCGTCAACTTTCCACCGACTGCTCCCTGCCATGGTGCTACGGATGACTGGTTTCCCGCCACCCAACGGCTCAGCATCGCGCTGCTTCGTTTCCTTGTAGCGTCCTTTGACGTACTCGTCCCAGTCCGGCTGAGGTACAAACGGTTCGATTGCCTCTCGCACATCCGTGGGGAAACGCTCCATCGCAGTCAAGACGTCCTCCGAAATTAGTGTGAGATGGCCCATATACCCTAATCGTACGGCCTTGGGCTTGTCCTGCGCTGCATCGTTCATTTTCTGACCCTCGATGATCCTTTGCATGAGTTTTGCATCGCGGAAGAGGGAAATAGCCAGTTCTCGACTCTGCCCTCCATTATCGACGGTCCCAGTTAGGATCTGGTGCGTCAGGTCATAAACCGCACTGTGTAGAAAGTTATTCCATGGGAACTCGAAAAAGAGGTCCTAGGAAAAGGTCAGAATGGAAAACGCTGGGCGACTGAGAGTTGCGCTACCAGTAATGTCGACAGGATATTCAGTTCGACAAATCGACGCTTGAACAGCTCACCCGGAGGTAGCTCCAGCACAACGCTCTGTCTTGCTCGCTGAGACCTGATACTCGGCGAAGATGAAGGCGTGGGCAACACCGGAGACGCGCTGGGCGCGGATTCCTGTTGCAGCGGGGGCGAGCCGCTAGGTGGTAATGGCGCGTGTGGTTTTGAGATGGGAAAAGGAGTATCGTCCTCCATCAGATCTTCGTCCGAACTACCCGGCTCGTCGTCGCTCATGTCTTCATCGGAATCCGACAGCGATGACAGCCCACCGCTCACAGGCAGCTCGTGCGCAGGGGCAATGTCATCCCTCGATCGCATCGGCGTGTCCCGGTCCTCGCTGCCAGGATTGAGTGCGATGACCTGCGCGAGTTCTTCGAGAGCAGCCAGTCCGCCTTGAAGGCGACCTTCGCTGTCGTACAGGCGGCTGTGCTCGATCCCCCGATTGAGGAGCGCCATATTCGAGCAGTGCAGCATTTCGGCAAGCAGTTCGCATATCCGATAGCGCTCAAACGTGAGAGGAGCGATGTCTCCGACCGTCGTTTTGATGGTTCCGTTCTAGAGGGCAGTCAACGGACGTGCATCTGATAGATGTAAGGGTAACGCACGACTGAGCGTGGCGAACGCAGGTAGCCCTGTAACCCGTCCAGCTTCTCTGTGATCAACTCTAGCAGAGGACCCAAATGAACCACTCCAATCCGATCTACCATCTCTCCCAAAGCGCTTTCCAACTGCTCTCGTCCACCATCGCCGTCCTCTTCTAGCGCAGCGGGCCCCAGATGCTGCTGGACCTGGATGAGCCGATTTCGAAGCGTGTGAAATAGGTATGGCTCGAAGTAGTTGGAGTTGTTCTTCCGAATGAGTTCGATGACGATCGCAATGGAGTGCACGACCGAGGAGGTGCAGGATTCCGCATTTGGCAAGGTCTCCGTCTCAGCCTGGTCTGGCGGCGGCGTTTTGTAGTCCAGAAGTATGTAACCGGATAGCGTCTTGACGCTCTCCATCGATGCCAGCTGTCGCGCAAAGATGTTGGACGCGGGTCCGGCTGTCATTTCCCCCAATCCGGCACCGGGGGTGGGAGTGGCCATCGAGATGATGCCTTTGATGAGCTCCGCGACGACATTATGCACGTCCGGAGAATATGTCGGTGCGAGGAACACCAGGAGCCGAGCCATCAGGTTCTCTGACGACAGCCACTACGGTCTGTGAGTGCGACGAGGTGCGACGAGAGAGCGGCACACACCTCGAGCACACCCGCTCCTCCCGGCTGTTCGTCCAGCTGAATGATGCGCACAAGCAGGTCGATGAATGAGGGCGTTTCGATGTGTCGGAGAATGCGCTCCACAATGTCCGGTTGCGCGCGGATGAAAGCCAGCATCTGGTGTGGGGCTGAGGGAGAGATTGGTTGGTACAACGGACCAGACACACCTCCGCAGGTCTTTTTCCCAAGAACACAGCGTTGATTTTGGCGAAGTGCGACGCCATGACCATCTGCGTCTTCATGTCTTCAGGTGATCTGTCGAGGATGGCATCCCAGAATGGGACCAAGAGCTCGGTTTGCGAGTTGACACACGTCTCGACAATAGACCATATCTCGCTGCATAGCACTTCGGTAGAGACATAAGGGTACCTGCGCTGCGGTGAGTCCGGGGGTACGCATACAAGGAGGTCAGGCGACTGACTTGAATTGGCCGTGCTCTTCGTTCTCAATCTGCCCCGAAACATGCTTCAGCAATCTCTGCAACACATCCACCCGCTGGAAATAATCTATAAGGCGCGTGTTTTGGGCCTTGCATTCTTGCAGCAGATCGTCTTCGTCCAAAATAGCTTCTACGGAAACGTCTTCCTTATCCAGCAGGCTGTCGATAGCGGAGGCATTATGGAAGCCGAATCTATGGAATGCGCTTTAGTCCATGGGAGAGGAGGCAGGACCGGGTCGTGCCTCCAGAACATGCGATCTGTGTTGGAGAGGAAGATGAGGTGGTGGACCGTGGTCAGATCACAATCGGTGATCGTTGCCTATCAGCGCGCGCCCGATATGGTTGCTTGACATCCCCCGCACCACATCCCAGTCTTTGACGTTCTGTCTTTAAATTTTCTGACTAAGTTGCCTCCTATTGCCACGACACTTGTGCAAGACTCTCGTCCTCATGACCGTGACCTACCCGGCAGTTCCTCCTCTCAACGAAAGCTGGCCCCTTCCTCCGGCCAATGAAATCGGACTGCACCCTGACGGGGTTAGCGCATGGAATCTCCTACTATCTGCCGAAAGTGCGGCACTCCGACTTCCTAAGCCTGCGGCGAAGTATCAAGATAAATTAATTGCCGTTCGGGTGGTAGCATGGCTCATCAAGGACTTTTATGAACACAATATGACCGCCGGCTACAAGAGCCTGACTCGCCAAGTACTGTCGTGCAACAACGTGTCAATGGCACTGGGGCCGGCGGAGGACCTCGAGCAGCGTCACGAAAAAGTCTTCCAGCTCGGTATAGATCTACGCAATCAACTGTTTCGCGTGTGTGAGTAACGAGGCAATCTTTCCTTTGCAGTAAGCTGACTATTCAAGTTTGCTCGCGCACCGATCGTACTCCATCCCCATCCCCTCACGCCTCCCTCCCGTCCTACGAAAAGCACAGAGCTGATATCCTCAAGAGCATGGCAGAGGTCCCGCCCTGAGCAAGGAAGGACACATTCGCAGGCCAAGGTCGACGTAAGTCTGTCCCCCACTAGCTGCCGGTTTTGTCGACCTTGGATCGTAATAGGCCCTGCTGCGGGACGGCCATAAATGTGTAATGACACGTCTATATGACAAGGTTACCCTCATGAACGTTCCCGAATTGAACCAGAAGTCGGATCATGAGGGAGTGGGGAGCGTCGAGACTGAGGTCGCTCACTTGATCTCGGGCACCGCGCAATCTGTTAGTCCCTTTCCCACCAAATTCATCTGCTGAATCGTATGCCAGTATCCCGAATATTCTGCAAGCGCTTTGGCTCTGCTTGAAAGCTTTGGTCTACGCAGTTTAGTCGATAAGCTGCAGGGTAAATGCGTGAATACTTTGTTTCACACCATGACCTTGTCCATCGCCTTGCACAAGGACTATGATAAATTTCTCTTCTGGCTTGAAGCTATCCCTGGAACGGTGATATTTCTATCCTTTACTGAAATTTCTCGAAGAAATCTCATCCTCGTCGTGCAGGAGCATACCTACACTGTCGTTGCGCGCCATCCGCCAACTTTCTTCAAGCAGGTGCCCAAGCCATCTCGGGAGGTGGCATTTCGCGTAGATCCTGATGCGGCGCGAGACGCTGCAGCCAATGGCATCGAACTGCCTCTCCCTGATCCAGAGCTGATGAACATCCGTGCTTCATGCGCCCGTGCTGCTGTGATGTCCGGTGCCGCTGATCAATTTCGGCTGCTAACGGAGGATCGGGACGATGCGGGGACGCTGACGGATTCGGATTCTGCGATGCATCTTCTCGACTCCCTACTTTATGCTGTATCTGATCATTCTTATGTGCGCACATTAGCTCCTGGAGCATAATCTTGTCCCCTAGTTTCTTGCCAGTGAACTTTTTGTAAGATCGACACAGCAGATTCTGCTCTACTGCATGAGTGCAGGTGAGCTACATTAACCCTTGCCCACCCCAATTCAACCCAATTAACCTCGAGCCCCCCCCCTGCACTCCCATGATCAGATGCGTCTGGGATAGGGCGCGCCTAGGCGTTTGGATTGCTCTGTGCATATGTACTGGAACCGAATTTTGTTCTATCCGATATCCACTGGGTGAATCGAGAAGAAAAATCAAGCCAATTCTGTTGGATTGATCGTTAGAGTGATCCGTACACTATCTACTCGTGGCTGTGTAATCATCAGACACTGTTATACTCGTCCACCATGAAAGTCAACGCCAACACGGTTCTAGTCGGCAGCAAAGTAGTGCTCTTGCCTTACCTAACTGAGCATGTACCAGTAAGATCCTTCGCTCTTTCTTGAAAACCCTCCCGGATGAGATCGAAACACGAGAAATACCACACCTGGATGCAAGATGAAGAGCTTCGGGAGCTTACTGCAAGCGAGCCGCTTTCTTTAGAAGAGGAGTACGAGATGCAGCGTATGTACCCCCCCTTATTTTTTTGGGATTACCAACTCAGACTTGACTGCTAGGGAAGTGGCGAGAAGAAGAAGACAAATTGACGTTCATCGTCCTCGCAAAGACGCACGACGCCGCTGGATCCAGCACTCTGAGCTTAGGAGATCCAATAATCTCACAGCTGCCTATGATCGGAGACGTCAACATCTTTCTTCACGGCTCACCCTCGCTGACGAACGAGGAAGCGGGTGAAGATTTCTACGCCGAGGCTGAAGTCATGATCGCAGGTGAGTATCCAGACGATCCCCGTTGCATCTGCCCTCGCGGCTCACTCTGATACTAGAACGCGATTACCGGCGCAGAGGCTACGCACTGGAAGCGCTCCAGCTGCTGCTGGGTTACGCGACTGCATCGCGCGGCGGTTCAGGCTCGTTCATATGCCACGACCCCGCTTCAACCCGATCGGACCTCGAAGCGAGCTCCAGCCCGCTGCCCATCTCGCCCGCATCCCTCCTGGTTCGGATATCGGAATCCAACACGCCGAGCATTCGGCTGTTTGAAAAATTGGGGTTTCGTGTCACGAAGCGGGTGGCGGTTTTTGAAGAGGTGGAGATGCGCTGGAGACAGGATGAGAGTTGAGTCGATGTAAAGTGAATCAGGATCCAAAAATACCTCTTGCCGGTGTATTATCGCGGAGCGAGTAAAAGCGCAGATCTAATCTGAGCCCGCGATTTGATGAAAAGCGAGATAATTGCCTTAAAATATCCATATTAGACGTGCACCCCGGAATGGATCGAGAGAGGCCCCATAATGTACAGCAACGTTATTTTTATTTCTTTTTTGATATGGATGTACCTGTCAACTTCTTCCTCAATCCCTCTTAGCTCAGTTGGTAGAGCGCGTCACTAGTAATGACGAGGTCAGTCGTTCAAATCGGCTAGCGGGAACGTTTTCAATCTCTTCAAATCTTTTAGATTTTCTCTAAATACTTTTTAAGTATTTGAACTTGCATCCCGAGCTACTTTTCAATCCTCGCCGTTAATGGTGGACTGCCTTCGTACTGAGACAGCATGAATTACTAGGCTCAGGGACAGCCAGGCGCTGTCACCGTGTACAGAGTCCAGACCCTTCGGAAAGTGGTTTATGGCCGAGCACGTGATCCAGGGAACGTCGTCGGCATTCCGGCGTCCCACGATCGGACACGCCTCTGCTCGCACCAGATGCAAAATTTGCTGCGCGCGCCGCTGCGCCAGACATGCCGACACCACGGCCTCCACATCACCTCCCAGTCTAACCCGAAACTCAGTCTTGTTGGCTCTTCGCGCCTCAAGTCGACTAAGAGCGCCAAAAGTGCTGCAAAGACGCCTGTGCCCCCGAAGACGGCCACTACACCCCCTCCACGACCTGCTCCGAAGCCTACCGTCCACGCCGCTCCGACTCCTGGGTTCAAGCCTACTGTTGCGGCCTTGTCCACGCCTGCTCCCGCGGCGAAGGCTGAGATCGCCCTGTCAGACACCCTATCTTGGCCCGAGTACTTTGATTTGAGGAAAAAGCGGAGGAGATGGCAGACGGTGCGCATGAACTTCTCATCATACTGTCTAGGGTGTCTTCTTATCTTTTGTGTGCAGTATATCTCGTTCCCCGCCGCGGCTGGTGGTTTCTTCGGGGGCGCATTCTACTTTGGGTCGCTTGAGACCGACCCAACTGTGCCTATCATGGTACGAAGCTCGCTCCCCCTCCTCCCACCTCTTATTCACCGTCCCTGTGACAGGGAGTAGACCCGCTCATGTTCTACGGAGGATGCACCATTCTCTGCAGCGGTCCGTCCCATCATCCATGTCACCAGCTTACCTTCCCGCCCACTCACCCCACGTCGCAGGGTTCGGCTTCTTGATTGGGCCCACCATCGGCTCCGGCATCTGGCGCATGATATACCGCAACTCCGCCGCCAAAGTCGACGCCAAGGACCGCGACTTTTTTCAGCACATTGCGCGCAACCGCGTCGACGCGACGCTGCAGAGCGCGACTAGCCCGATACCGGACTACTACGGCGAGAAGGTGGGCTCCCTTCGGCAGTATAGACAGGTGCGTGTTTCCGCTGTCGATAGATCCGCGCGGGTACTAACTCACTGTTTGTTGCAGTGGCTGCGCGATCAGTCGAAGTTTCGCCGGAAAGCTATGCATGTCTCCGTAGATTAGGTTGTGCAATGCGTATCTGAATGGCGGGAGCTTGTTCTCTTTTATTTTTGCGCTTCGGGGGCGATTGGCTGCGGCGCGGAGAAACATGCATCGACCCATCTATCAGCCCGCAACTTGATCATCAACACGCAAGGATCCTCAGGGCTCTCGGTGGATTTGTGTTGAATGCGACGCAATCAGTGTGTTTGGCCTGAAAAGGCTGATCCGCATTCTGTCCGAAAGTCACCTAAGGCTGCTCGTGGGGGAGAGACGAGTACTCATGGTGCTTGATTGATTACTTCCCGTCCTGTTACCATGCTTCGTCGACAGGATGGCTGTCCGTTCCAGGGTGTGTCTCTCGCGTCCTCTCCATTACAAGTGCGTATATGGGCAGTTGTGTGTCATGGATGCACAGGCGTAGGAGAGGCTGTTCTCCTCGAGCGCAGCCCGAAATGCTGCCATCGACTTTCAAAGAGGTGAGATCGGCGTGATAAGGTCATGTGATATGATCCCTTTTCGGTAGCCACCAGGAAGAGCTTGAGAAGACAAGTGAAGGTGTTCTCTCTCGATTGGAATGTAGCCAGCATATATTGGAGACCAGGCACCTGCGGGAAACTCACCCAGCCGACTGGGTCTCACCGCCGACATCATAATTTGTGGATCTCCGTGTAACTGAATCCTGATGGCGTTTTGAGGAGTTGGTTTCATCGGACTGACAGGATCAAGATGCGGCACTCAAAACTATTCAAAGGTTTGTCGGCTGCGAAGGTCTTCGTTCCTCTTCTCTCTTCTCCCTTTCGAGGCGCTTGTCTCTCCTTCCCCTCTTTTCGTTCGTTCGTTCCCCTTTGACGATCAGCCATGCACCACAATCCATCCCGTATGGTTCGCGAGCGCCGACAGAACACGTCCGCCGCTTCGCCGAGTGCCACAGCTATCGTCGATTCCGCCCCGCCCAGCAGCAGCACATCGGTGGTCAGCCTCACGGCTCCGACGTCTACGAGTGTGCTGGCGGCTATTGTAGCCATTTTGTTTGCCGTGGTGCTACTGGGTGCGTCCCCGTCACCCTTGGCCCGTGGGCGCGCTATCTCCGCGTACTGATCTAGGCGACTCCCAGGCATTGCGATCTGCATCTACCGGCGGCAACGAAAATCGAGGAAGAGTGCCGAGGGCGGTCCCCAGCCTCATGTGATCAGCTTTGAGGAGAAGAAGAAGGAGGCGTCGTTCGACGAGGACAAAAAACACGACCTGCACATCTCTGCGTATGGGATTGAGAAGCCCAGCCGCGCCTTCATTCCGGACTCCGCGAACACAGGCGCGGGCTGGGTGCCCCAGATCCCGTCCGCCGATGCGACGCACAACAGTGCGAAGAAGTCGAAGAGTAAGAAGACGCTGCGGCCTTGGGACAAGACGCTTTCGGGCTTCGCACCCAGCGAGCGCTCGCCGCCGCCCTCGTACCCGTCAGCCAACGCCTCTCCGACGTTCCTTTCCACGCAGATCCCGCTGCCTCCTTCCCCGCCCCATCAATCTGCGATGCCCCCGACACCGCCGACACCCCCGGCGAAGAAGAGCAAGACGAATCCCTTCGCGCGCGAGATCCCGCCTGCGAAACCGGAGCCGTCCGATCTCGCGCCGCTGCCGCTCCCGTCTCCGGCCCGCACAGCCTCCTTCGCGCACATGCAGACGATGCAGATGCCCCCGGAGGACGAGGCGGCGATCCCGCCGTCGCCGCTCCCGGTGCGCCTCATGAACGTGGTCAGCGCGTTCGCGCCGACGATGGAGGACGAGCTCGCGCTACGCGTCGGCGAGACGGTGCGCGTGCTGGAGGAGTTCCAGGACGGGTGGGGCCTCGTGCAGCGCGTCGGGAGGAACGCGAGCGAGGCGCCAAAGGGCGTCGTGCCCATGACCTGTCTCGTTGAGCGGGTGGCCACCGTCGTCGGACGGAGGCTTTGAATGACTTGCTACTGCTTATGACCGACTGTCGCGTCCCCGCCACCACCTCCCCTTCTGTGTAGGGCCGACACACCACATTCGTTTGCCCACACCGCGCGTTGTCGCGCTTTGATATTTATCTGCTTGCTGCCGCCCCGTTATTTATACATTTCGGAGGCGCGCCGCGCCGCTTCCTCCGATATCTCGTTCTCGTTCTCGTTCTCACTGTTGCCTTTGCCCTTGCCTTTGCCCTTATCCTCGGTTCCTCTTATAACTTAGTCGTACTCGCTCGACACCCCCCTGCTCTTTCGTGCACCTGGGCTGCACGCTGTTTCCGCCTGCGAGCCAGGCCGGCACCGACTGTCGCCCGACTACCAGTTATTCGACCCACAGCGCGGCGTTGCCGATACGGCGGACGAGTCCCTTGGAGGACACACGTAATCTACCTACCTCGCAGACCAAATAGCTACATCCCTTGCTTTATTTCTGACTTATCAACTTGCATTTTTGGTCTTCGCTTGGGTGGGGGGGGGGGGGGGGTTCTGCCGCTCAAAGTGACGAACTCTAGCAGTGCAGCACAGTCTCATGGGGCAACACTCCATCGGGTTGACCTGACTACTGGGTAGGTCTGGAACCAGGGACAGATGTAAAGGATCACAAGTGGGCGTCACGCCATTAATGATCTGATATCGCATCAGACCTCGGATACTGACAATTTCCTTATTCGACGCTTGTAGTTTTGTTTAGTTTAGGTTACTCCGCGCCTACGATGTACTCTGGATTTATCTCCAATTCATCCAAAGTATCTCGTTTACCATACAAATCATGTACTATAAGCATCTAGAGAAGAAAATGGGTTCTACCGACTCAATTCTTACTCTCTAACCGACTTTAGATGGAAACCTCAAACTCAAGACTTTCGTTAGCTTTGCTTTGAGCTGAGAAATTCCAAAGCTTTACAACAGACAGATCAAGTTGGATTAGATTATATCCGATGATGACAAACTTAGTCTACAAACCGCACCCGGGCTCTCACATCCTCAAATCCAACCCTCCGGCGTTTCCCATCATCCTCTTCCCCGGCGGAGACGGAACCCTGACGCGCTTCTTCGGGGGCGATTCTTGGGCGAACGCGACCTTGCGCGGACTCGCACTCGCCTCTTCCACGCTCGTTCGCGAGAGCGCTAGGGCCTCGGGCGGCGGGATCCGGACAAGCGGATGATCGAACGCGACCAGTTCGGTCGGTCGGTGTGTCAGAAATTTAGGGTTCTTGCGCGTCAGATCAGCACAGTAGGAAAGAAACAGCAGTCGCGCAGCATGGCATGGTAGTCTCACCGCGATGAACGTCCGCATCCCAACCTCGTCGATGAGGCGCGGCGTTTTGCCCTTGCCGGCCTTCAACTCCGCGCGCCGACGCGCCATCTCTTCCTCTGACGTCCCCCGGATGGCCAGAGTCTTCACTGTGCGGATGGTTTGGTCGATTAGCAGGCCTGAAGAGGAACCGCACTCACCCGTGATGGGCCGCGCCTGGCCGATACGGTGGCACCGCTTGATCGCCTGGCTCTCGACGTCCGCCTGCCACACCGGCTCGCAGAAGATCACGCGCGACGCGCTGGTCAGGTTCAGGCCCCGCGCGCCGTGCTTGAGCTCCATCAGGAAGACGCGGTACTTGCCCATCGTCTCGAACCCGCGCACGAACTGCTCCCGCACGCGCGCCGAGACCGCGGTCGTGAAGCGCAGGAACTCGATCCCGACGAGCTCGAGCGCATCCGCGACGTGGGCGAGCGAGAGCACGGACTCGGAGAAGATGAGGATCTTCTCGCGGGGTGAGTGCTCGAGAACCTGCGGGTTCAAGTCAGTTGCCTAGTCGACAGACCAACCGAGCGCACTTCGTTGATGATATAGTTCAGTTTGCTCGACCCAGTAGACCCCAGGCGTGTATGCGCAATCAACGATTGAGCCACAAGCGCCGACGCATACTGCGGCTCGTTCGCAGCGTCCACCAGTTGCGCGTCGTCGAGACTTTCAATCGCAGCCTCGATTTCCAACCCCTTCTGCACCGCCCTCGGATCCGCCGCAGCCACAGCCGGTCCTGCGCCTTTCTCGCCCTTCTTCCGCTTCTTCGTCCCGCGCTGCATCTCGCGCTCGAGGGCCTTGCGCCGCCTGGCATCGTCGCCCGCCCGCTCGACCAGCGCGTCCGCGGAGGTCAGCGGCCGCTCGAGCACGAGCGCGCGCAGCTCCTGGATGCGGTCGGAGTGCAGGAAGCCTTCTGCGCTCGGGGTGCGTGTCCAGGCGGCGAACAACGCTGGGTCGAGGCCGTGCACGCGGAACGGCACGTTCGGGTCTTGTTGGATCGCACGCCACAGCGTGTCAGCCCGCGCGTGAGAGCTGAGGGGAAATCGGATCAGCTGTGTTTCGGTCGGCGAGGAGATCAGCCAACAGAGAATCGACCGCGTCCCTCAGCAGCTTTGCGTCGTCCGGCCGCTCAGCCGACTTGTCTTGGAACTTGGACACGTAATTCTGCTGCATGATCTCCGCGGCGTTGTACAAATTCTCATCCACGGACCAGAACATGACTCTGGAATTGATGTATTCGGTGTTTATTTCTTCATCTTCAGAGAAATAAAACGCTGGCTCACTGCGAGAAATTTTGAATGACTTCCTGCAGATGTTTGGTGTTCTGCGCGGAATGAGTGCGCGGCCAATCGAATAAAACCTGCTAGTCCAACCTTTTGATGAAAAAAGTAATCCTGAAAGACATATTTCAGAATCTGAACGAAACTGAAGAATTCGAACATACCAAGCCCTCGCGCTCAGACGTCACCGCATTGATCGCGACCACAGCCTGCAACGCATTGTAGGATTTGACCTGCACCGGCTCGAGATCAAGCAGCACCAAATCCTGCGACACCGGCGGCAGCCTGATCTCCTCCTCCACATCCGATATCCTACGTTCCTCTCGTTCAGAACACCCAGCACAGCACGCGCGCCCCGAAATCCGCAACGCACCGGTGCCGAATCATCACCGCCGCCATCAGCTGCATCAGCACATCAGTGGCGCCGGCCCGCGGGGGCCGCCGCGTCTCGCCACGCTTTCCCGGCACCTTGCAGCGGTTGAACAGCGCGTCCCTGACGTGCGTGCCCATCAACCGCGGGTTCGCGCGGAGCTGCGGCAGGCCCACGAATTGCGCGATCATGTTGCCCAGTTTCTTGAGATCCTGGGCGTCTTGGTCCGTCCACACTCTCCCCACTGCATCCTCGACGCCCTCCTCCAGAGGATCGGGCTCCGGATCCGCGTCAGCCGAGGACCTGCCCAGGCTGAGGCCCAAAAGATTCGTCGTCGGCGTCCCGGTCACGATCCACCGCCGCTCGACACTTAGCGTGCTCGTGAAGGGGGTGAGGACAGTGTCCAATGTCGCGGACACGTGCCCTTCGTCGATGACGAGCCGCTTCCACCGGATTTGCGACAGGGGCGAGACGCCGGCGGGTGGTGCGCACGTGCATTTGGGGATGCGCACGTTGTCGTATTCGGGGCATTGGCAGAGGGGGGAGACGGTGTGTTCGCGCGTCGGGCCGCCAATCTTGTCCTCCAGTGTGAAACCTGCGCGATTTGAGCTGCGTTGGAACATAAAAAAATCTCACGGACGCGGATATGTCATGAGGATAATCTAGCAGATATCAGAAGCCATAAATTGCGCCCTGGAACATAAAGATAGACACGAACATCGTATTCGCTCGCCAGCACTCGCGCGGGCGGCATCGCATCCCCGTTCTTCAGTACGCACAGCCGGAGCGAGTCATCACAATGCACGGAACATTCTCTCTTCCACTGGAGCAGCAAATTGGGCGGAACTGCAGCCCGAGTCAACTGCCATCTTGCTTGATTGCCAACACTCACCGATGATCAAAGTTGCGGAAGTCAGATACAATACCCGAGGGCGCTTTGGCGAACTAGAAACCGCCCGTTTCTGACCTTCCCGCTCCTCGTCCATCGGCTCCGATGACGGAGACTCGAGATAAAACGGAAGATTATCTCGCCTGGGACCCGTGTAGTGCTCCAAACCATCGACTGCCTCCCGGAGCGCATCATGGCGAGCGCGGCGGCGCGGGGGGACAAAGTCGACCGGCCGTGTGGCTAAGCTGTGCAGCAGCAATTCCACAAGACTCGGCACGCCGTGATCCATCGCCGGTTGCTCGTCTAGTCTGTCACGTGCCTCCGCGAAGGGGCCCGAGGGAAAGTGGCGCAGCGCGAGCGGGGTCAGGACGGGCCGGGTGTCCATGATTGCAGGCTCGGGCGAGGATATCTGGTTCCGCGTGCACGAAATCAAGGCGAGGATCATGACCGTCTTGCCCGTGCCTGCCGGCGATCAAGTCAGATGCAAACACAGTGCGGGTGCCACGGACCTAGTTCTTCGCAGAGGATGCCTCCGCGGCAGGGCGCCTCCATCGAGCGCTCCCTGAGGACCTCCATTGTCCCCGGCTGGTACCAGAACTCCTGCCCTTCCATACCCGTGACCGGGACGAACAGCGGATTCGGCACGTTCCGCGGATCCGTCTCGCGCTGGACCATCGCGGCGACGGAGCGCCGCTGGTAGAGATGCAGCCTGGAGCGGATGCCGATATCGCTCTCGAGCGCATCGGAAAAGTCCAGCAGGCGCCGCGTGGCCGGCGTCGATGCGGCGCTGAGCGTCGCGGCGGGCGAGGGCAGCTGCTCGTAGAGCTCGGAGAGCGTCCTTCCCTTGGAGAGAAATCGACATCAAATCCAGCGGGGTTTTATTCGAGGATGTCACGCACCGGCTCGCAGGGCTGTGGCACATGCGGGCCCCGGCCAAGCCAACATCGAGGATCGCGCGACAGCGCCGGGAGCAGCCCGTCCAAGAATCGCCGGGCTTTCCCCAGATCGGACTGTCTCCGGGCGCGCAGAGCACCGGCGGCGCCGGCCAGATCGTACGGTACGAGATACACGCGGATGTACATCAAGTCGGGCGACGGGGCCAGGCACGCCGCATGCGCGAAGCGGTGGAGGATCAGAAACTGCAGCGAGCGTTTGAGCGGCTCGTCGGGCGAGTTCGCGAGGTGGGTATAGACGCTGTCTGGAGCGAGGACACGCCAATCTTCCTCGTCGTGTTCGCGCTCCTGGTTTTGCAAATTTGATGCGGAGACCGACGGATTTGCAAGCGGGAGCACCAGGGTTCCAAACGCCAGGTAATGGCTCGGATCCCATGGGTCGCTTCGCATCGCTTACCCGATAGATACCGTGAGCCGAGCAAGGGCTCAGATTACTCGAAACTGGTGGCAGCAGGATATGAGCAGAAGTGGCTGTGCATCAGGTGCCACCAGATCACATGTTAGATTAGCCAGTATCTCGCGGTGCGAGGGCTCGTTGGCAAACGGCGGATGGCAATCATACAACACGGTCTGTCCCACGTTTCTGCTCTTTTCACCACCAAATTGAATGAAATTGGCGGTATCGGAGACCTTCGGAACTGGGAACGGAACGAATCGTGATTGCAGTAGCTGATCGAGTCACGAGACCGCGCTCCAGTGGCTGTTCGTGTCGCGACTCCCTTTCACGACAGTGAGAAACTCTTGTACCTCGAATCAAACGAAGTCATATATGCTGGCGCGGTAGAAAGACAACGACGGAGGATGATAAGGACGAAGCGACGCAGGCTGGAGAGAAAGAGCTAGATGATCTGAATCGCCGAGGACGCACGCTCCCCATATCTCGGTGAGTCTTCCATCGTCGCTCTTCGCGATGCCAGTACAGGATTCACGGATTTTACAGGCTGCGGTCCCTGAATCGACGGTGTGTTCTGTCGCATCTATATACAGTGCTCGCGACCGAGCGCACGTGCAGACGATTTGGCAGATATTCTGCTACGGCCATCTCGCTGCCTGGCTGAGTGCCTCGGCGAGTCCGAACATAGCGAATAAACAGGTGTGCCGCTGTGGCATGGTCCTTGAGTGCGATTTCACCTGGATTTGGATGTTTTATACTGCGAATTTCCATAGACTCTTAGGCGGACTGGCATGCATCGAATCGTCGTGCCTCTGATCGAACATATACCAGTAATCTCGAACGTGGTAAAGTCGCGGACTGGGCTTGTCGTCGTCTGAGCGATACACATCGGTGGGCAGTCTACTACTATGCGATTCACAAACACTCTACGCGGTCCACTGTGACATAACAGGCCGGCCACCGATAGCGGTCCCTGGTTTTGCGAACCTTCGATGCCACGAGACCTGGGTGAGGAAAGTCAGCGTACAATCACCAGTGTCACGCTGAGTGAGTCATATTCCCGGACGACAGAGGGCACACCCCATTGCCGCTTGCTGTTTCATCACGATTGCCAGTGATCGAATAGGCGGGTGACGGCGGACCCACAACACCCATATGCGGTGCTCGCGCCTGTGTGCAGAGAGAGACTATGGACGGACGTTGGCCACCGTCCATCCGCTGGGGGCGCCCATGTGCTCGGCCTTGAGCCGTTTGCGCTGGTGCGAGAAGGAGAAATCGTGCCGTATCCGATGCTCAGAGCCATCCAAGTCCGTGTGCGCCGTCGCCAGTGGCCAGTGGCCTTGAGCCGTCTTACATCATCCAGTCGTAATCCTCATATGCATGTGCCAGTACGTCGCCAGTAAGCCAGTCTCTCTTAGATGTCGATCCTCATCGATCGTGTCCAAGCAGGAACAGACACGCCGGTGGCCAGCTGCAGCACCCCTCTCTAACGTGCATCCCCGATGTGCGACCGATCGACGATCAACATAGCCGAGGCGCAGTGGTCACGACCGTGGCGCTAGCAGCGTGCACACACGGACCGTCTTCGCCCCCGGCGTCTCTCGCTTGCTCCTCTGCCGTCCTTCCGTCCCCCGACTAGTACTCGAGGAAAGAAGGAATATGACCCACCGAGAGGGATGACTGAGTGGCTTGAGGCAAGGAGAGAGAGGGAAGGAGACCCGGCTTCTGGTGGGTCGAGGTAGAGTAAGAGCAAAAGAGGCGATGGGGGTGAGGTTCTCTGGCCGTGTGGTTTTTATAGCAAGTGCGGTGTTTTGTGGGTACACAGAAGCCAGGCCCAAATTGGGTCTGCCGTGTGTTGGCCGCGCAGTGTGGCACGTAGATCATGATATCGCAGAACGCGGCGGACACAGGTGCGGCCCGGTTGTGGGTGTCATCAACCAACAGCAAACGGCCGCTGCTTCACTTCAGGTGCCGGAATAAGCAGAACCAGATTATCAGTGAGTGCATCGCGGATTGTGTCGGCACGAAGCAGGCGGCATGGAATCGGTAGGCGACGAGACGATTCCACATCGGAGTGTGCTCAGCTGGGAACTTCAAATCGATGGACAGTGACGTGTCGTTGATGCAGGGACTTCATTCGTGAACAATTTCGTTGATCAGCCGCATGGCAGTCGCACCGAGCCGCAAGCAACGAAGGGTCAAGCACTGGTAGTGGTGCAAGCCAACAAAACGTGAATGCGGGCCGCTGGGTCCAGTGACAAACAAGGCAATACCATGACTAGCCTTTCAATCCACTGGCAAGCCCATGCCTTGATTCACACTCAGCGAGCATGGATTTGGACTTATGGCGCTTGTAACACCCCTCGCAACCAGTCTCTTCTCTCCGAACACGCAATCCCCTCATGTGGCAGAAGAGCTCTTAGCTAGGAACTCAGAACGTTTGAAGGCGTACGGGTTGCTACCCGAGTATATACAAAGGACTCCGTCCGACTGTAGGACGGACGTGTCAGACATGCGACGTTCTCCGAAGTGCTTGCTTCACCTCCCTCAAGAAAACGCGTGTCTTTGGATGATACAATTGCTGTGGCCCTATTGGTCGGGTTCGCACAAGGCCTGCTATTACACTTTTACACTTCTACTCGATCTTCACTTTGTGCGCAGTCGCCTTCTCGCACTCCTCGCCAAACACATCGATGTCCCACTTGGGCGTGTAGCGGGCGGGGATGTTGTACCGCCGCGGGCTCTGTCCCAGCGCGTTGACCTTGGCATAGTCCGCGTCGCTGAGCGCGACCTGGTTGAAGTTGGCGACGATCCGGGATTCCGTGACGCTCTTGGGGATCACGGAGTAGCCCCGCTTGATGCCCCAGGCGAGCAGGACCTGCGCCGGAGAAGCGCCGATCGAGTTGGCGACTTCGACGATGACCGGGTTTTCTGTGAGCAGCGGGTCCCCGACAGCTTGCGAGATGGTGGAGTTAGTCAGGGTTGTGGGATGGTTTCGAAGGGCTTACAGTTGTTGCCGAGAGAGCTGTAGGCGGTGATGTGGATGTTCTTCGACGCACAGTATGCCGCGAGCTCATCTTGGGGCAGCAGCGGGTGAGCCTCGATCTGGTTCGCAGCGGGGACGACGCCAGTGGCTTTGATGATGCCCTCGAGGTGTGCGATGGTGAAGTTGGAGACACCGACGTTGCGGACCTGGCTCATATGAGATTCGACGGGGAGAGAGTGATTCGTCCACGCACCTTCGACTTGGGGAGCGCGAGCATGGCCTTCCATGTGTCGACGAGCGAGGTCTCGAGATCGAGCGCCACTTCGCCCTGACCGGCCGGATCGAGAGGGAAGAGGTTAGCGCCAGGTTGGAAAGCGACGGGCCAGTGGATCACTGCGGAGCGATCAATGGGCTATAACGGAAGTAGCAGATCATCCCGCACGATAGAGATCCAGGTAATCGAGTCCGAGTTGCTTCAAAGTCTCGTCCAGCTCCTTCTCGACAAGATCCGGCCGATGTGAGGTGTTCCAGCACTTGGAGGTGATGAAGATGTCCTCGCGCTTTGCGACGGCGGGGAACAGCTTTTTGAACGCCTCGCCGATCTCGGGCTGGTTGGCGTATACCATCGCGAGATCGAGGTGCTTGTAGCCATTCTTCACGGCGATCTCGACCTGGTCATCGAATCGTGAGCTGGGCTTGACGATCGATGTGTTCGTGCTGCTTACTGAGTTCCCGACCTGCCCAGGCCCAGCCTGCCATGTACCGAATCCGATTTGAGGGATGGGGGCGCCGGTGGAGAGGGAGACACTTTTTCCAAAAGACATGATGGTTGATATGAAGAAGTTTTGCAACCCAGAGAACTCTTATAAGAGAATTGTGTTTGGAGTTGGGATAATAGAGGCTCCGGACTGACGTCACGCGGTGAACGCGGTAATCGAAGAAGATCGAGAATTTGGAGACTGGCTAATCGACAGGGTTATGAAAAAGCCGGTAGCACCTTTGAGAGAACTTTCACACGACCGTGATGCGCCTGATATGGACTCTACTTTCGAGGGCGCATCAATCCATTCCCGAAATTAGATTAGATTGATAATCAGATAAGACTTTTGGATACCCACGTGATCGTGTGCTATGTTGTGAGGGTCGGCTAAACCTGTCTACACCAAAGTGGACCCCAATATTCTGGGCACCGTCGAGACAAGATCAATCTGGAAGACAACTCTTGACGACCCTTCATTCTCCATACGCTCGATCCCACCAGGACTGGATCCTGGCTGAACAAGGACAGGACGAAGTGGCCTTTTGGAAACCCCAAGTCGGTTTACAGGGCGACATTTGCAGAGACTTGAACGGGCTGAGATTGTGCGGACTGACAAACTGATAGAGCTATGAGTCCAACAGAAGTTGCCTGGAGAGTCAAAAGTGAGTTGCTCTAAACCTTATTGCCGTCTGTCCATCTCTACATATGTCCTTCCACTGTTCCGCACGTCACTCCGTTTCCCATTGCACAAGTCCATTCTTACGCGCGCTACAGCTCGTCCGTGCCCTTTTTATCAGCAAGGCAGATGCGTGTTCGAAGAATCGTGCAATTTTGTCCACGACACCTCCGTCCGCCCTCGTCCCACTCCTGATCAATACACCGCTCCTGTGTCGCCTTCACCGTCACCGCACCGTCTGCCTGAACTTTTGGATGCGCTGAGCGATGTCCTCGACCCAGACCCATTCACGGAGAGCCCGCATTCGGTGTCGCTTGTTCAGGAACACGGCGTGTCGCCGCATATAGCGGGCGAAGGGTGGACGCTGGTGAACAACAGCACCCACGACGACTCCGCGAACGATCTGCTCTCGCCAATGTCTCTTCCCGACCTCAAGCTGTCGCGCTTCTCGACGATGGGCGTTCCGGTGACGAAGAACAACTCCGACTCGTTTGACTCGGGCTACGGATCTTCCTCGTCCTCGCCGCCTCCAGTGCCTTCGTCGACATTGAACCTGATCGCATCTCCGTTCGGCTCGCCATCGGAACGCATGGGGATGGGTCTGGTCGGTGTGGGTGTGGGTGTTGGCGTTGGTGTTGGCATGGGCGCGAGTCGGTTGTTCTCGATGCCATTCAGCTCGCCTGGTGGGAAATGGCGGGAGGAAAGCCCGGACTTGGACTCACCATCGAAGCTCCGACGGTCGGTTGGGATGGTTGGAGAGGAGAAGAATGCTACTCCGATGGAGGATTCCCGACGCTTGTCCACCCCCTCACCGTCCTCCCCGTTGGACCTGACGGAAACTTCCACGGACCAGTCTTTCTCTGAATCCCCCGATGAAGAGACTACTCAGAACGTGGACTATGTAGTCGCATCGCCGGAAGTCACACGCGTACAGGAGAACGACACCATCCATGGGCTTTATGATGTGTATCTTCACTCTCCTCCGCAAGGGGCGGTTGTCCCCGAGACAGCACCAACAGACGAAGAGCGCGGGCGTATCCGGCCACGTGTATTCACACCTCCCCCCGCTGCTAGCAAGTTCGATCCCCCGGATTCGTCGACGCCGTCCAGTGGCGATCGGCCCAAATCTCCGGCGTCAGTGTTCACATCTCCTGAACCGATCCCCTCCCGGCCCGTATCGAGAGCGTCGACCATATCGAGAGCGTCGACCAGAGCGTCGACCAGCAGGCTGCCGGCTCAAATTCCGTTTCACATCACACCAGAACCGACCGGAGGAAAGGTTCCTTTCGGGTTCAACAGCAAGCGGAACTCCAGGAGGGTGGGTCCCGTACCAGCATCTGCCTCTGCTGTGCAGGAATCATTTGGATCTCCGGTGCGTTTATGGCTTCCTCGAATGATATCGGCTGATGCTCCTTTCAGCGCAGGAGAAGGATATCGAGGAGCGTTACTCCTGCTTCAGCATCTGTTCTGCGCTCTACGTTCTTTGAAGCAGAACAGGACGCTCCAATTCCTGCAAAAGGACTGAAGCAACTGCGCTTGGTGGGTTTTCGCCATATGAGACGAATGCAGAGACTCATTCGCGCTAGTCGACCATCTTCACACAACCTATCAATTTCAATTTACCACCACCGGAACCGATACCCACTGAATCACCACGGATATTTATACCCGAAGCCGAACCTGACAAGGAAAACGACGAGGACCACGACGACATCGACAATGACGACGAAGACCATGACCAAGACGACACTCACGAACAAGACGAAACTGACTTCACGATCCGCAGGCGAATCGTCCCGCCACCTATCCAGATTCCCTCACCGCTGGTGCGAGCTAATTCGGCCATCGGCTTCACGCAACATCCCGCGACACCTCGTCCTACGCTTTTGTTCGCGATCGGGTCGGACGATCCCGAAGCCGTACGGAGGGTCCTCGAATCCGGCGAAGCCAACGCAAGCGATGCGGCTGGGCCGAATAGCGAGAGCGCTCTGGAGTTCACATTAGCGAATCCACAGCTGAAGCGGAAGAACGAGATCGCCAAGGTCTTGTTGGCTTTTGGTGCTGGCGGGAAGGAGAACGCGATGGGAGATGATGTCGATCCAGCGATCAGGTACGTGGATGGACACTTACTGGACTGTATACAAACGCTTATGGGAGATAGGTACTACGTCAAACGAGCAGCAGAAGAGCATACTAAAAAGTCTGGCGCACTGATCCACCGCTCATTCTTCCGTCCACTGACAGGGATCCGCTACGAGCTGATTGGCCAAGACCGGGCGCTCGAGCAGCTGTTCCGGGTTCTGAGCATCCACTCGCAGCAGCTGTCGGTCGTCCCTGTGGTGGTTCTGCTGTGCGGGCCAAGTGGTCACGGCAAGAGTCATCTGGCGAGAAAGTTTGGGGCATTGCTCGATGTGCCGACGCATACGGTCAACATGACGACCCTGAGGACGGGGCATGACTTGTGGGGGGCATATTCGATGAATCCCTTCGAGGCAAGTTGTCGCTCGCGTAAGCATTCCTGCTTCTCACGCATGGACACAGGAACCTAGCACATCTACTCTGGCCGAATTCCTGATTAACAACGAGGGAAAGAGATGCGTCGTGGTCCTCGATGTAAGTCCCTCCTGCGACAAGATCCAGGGCGTTATTGACTGTCTCGGAATAGGAGATTGAGAAAGTGGAAGAGAAAACACTTTGGACTCTGCTGATGCCATGGGAATCTGGTCCGTTTCCGTCACGTTCACTACGACCTTTCAGCTGACCGATCCACCAGGCCGCTGCTCATTTGACGCCAACAGCCGGCACATCGATGTTCGCAATGTCATCTGGCTCGGGACGTCCAATCTCGGGGCCGACCTCGTCTTCGAGCATCATCAGACACGGGCTAACCCCACCGAGCTGGTGTCGCGGCCTGAGTATGTCCAGCTCATGAACCTCGTCAGAGACCCTGTCTCGAAACACATGGGGGTGCGTGTGCAACTAGAAAGCCTTGCATCCTTACTTACGCGGCCTTGTCCAGGCCTCGCTGCTGTCGCGTGTTTCGACTGTTCTGCCGTTCGTCCCGTTCACGAAGGAGGAACAGGAGGCTCTATGCGCAGAGGCGTTCCACACACTCGGCGCAGGCCTGCTGGGAGACGACGTGCAGCTGGACACGCTCATTCGCGGCGCAATGGAAAGTTACGTTCCGGAAGAAGGGGCCAGGTCGCTGAGTAGGGGAGTAGGCAACTTGTTAGTCGATCTATGAATGCATGCAGGAAACTCGGAGTGGGAGAACTTGGAAGTTAACTCCAGAAAACAATGTCCAAAAGGAAATCACATTTCTGACGAAAAATTCCCGCTAGCCGATTTGAACGACTGACCTCGTCATTACTAGTGACGCGCTCTACCAACTGAGCTAAGAGGGATTGAGCGTGAAGCGTAAATGTCACTATCTCAACCATGATCATTCTTCTACTTGATCCCTCTGTAGCCTGTCTGCACCACTCTGCAATTCAGTCCCCATGACGAACAAACAGTCCAGGTACGGCCACGTGATTCTTCATCAATGAGTTCTGTGAGTCATGGCATTGGCATCGCGTGTTACCCGAAAACTTTTCATAAATAGACCAGCGAGGTCTGTCATGGGCCTCAACACCCACAAGCGACCGACCCATCGGGCACCAGACCCTCTCTGCCAATGCCGCAATGCCTGTCGCTCTCGATCCTGTGTCCCCTCGAAGGCGTGCGTTGGCTTGGTAGTCCCTCTGAGGCGGGGTTTCTATTTTCAAGCGACGGCCCACCGGATCCGGCGCAGTCAGAAGCAACGTGGGCCGTCCACTCGGCGTCGACGCTCCACATCGGCCCCCGCGCGTCGGTGTTCCGGGCGCAGATCGCGCGCCCGCATCAAAGCCGGACGCTCGATGCCGTGTTGAAGATGGATGTGCGCGGGCGGCGGGAGACGGCGTTTCTGAACGAGGAGCGGGCGTATGCGAAGGCGGAGCGACTGCAGGGGAGTGTGTTGCCCGTGCTGTATGGCCGCGTCCGAGCGCGCCTTTCTGATGGGGTGGTGGTAACGTGTCTGGTGCTGGAATACTGCGGAGAGCCGATGGAACGCGAGCTGTGGCAGGTAGAGAACCCCTTCATGTGAGTTGCTGCCGACGTCTATTGTATAAAACACTGATCAGTCCGCTAGGAGCAATATCCTGCTCTGCGTCGCGGCGTTGCATGCCGAGGGTGTTACACACGGCGATATATATACCAAGAACATTCTCAGCCGAAATGGCGCCCCCGTCCTCATCGATCTCGAGTGCAGCCAATGCCACAAATGTGAAATCAATATAAGGACAGTCGGAGGCACTATCATGCCAACAGTGGACGAATACGGTTGCGCCGAGCTGCACAATCTCATTTGCAGGATGCAGCTGTGGCAACCTCGTTAGTCCGCGCCCTCTTTGCAGAACGGACACTGATTTGCGCCGAGCAGGATCGCTTCCATTTTGCGATGTCTACTTGGTGAAGGACGAGCTCAAGTCCGAGGCTGACATCATCACATGGATTCCTCCGCATGTAGATCCGGACGCCCGGGCCAGGTTTATGGAACGTGCGCGAGCTTTGTGGGACGATGTGCGAGAGGAGCGGATGTTGACCTACGGTTCGACTGACCCTCCTGGTGTGTCTGAACCGTCCTCTGATACTTGGCGTCTGTTGCTTAACGCCCCGGGAACCTAGGTCGCAGGACGCGTCTGGATGTCGTCCAGACCAGCTCCAGATGTGCTGTGGTTTTCTAATGTGGTCCTCAGCAGAGCGACGGGCCTCATGCTTGGCCTTATATCCATTGACCGCGGGATGCATAAGCTCTATCTAGGAACGGGCCAGCGGGGTTCTGTACCTACAAGCACTAGCCTGCTAGGCCATGACATATGCTACACTCCAAACAAGGCATCAGCCCCTGCAGTGCAATCAGCGACTACCAGCCTGGTAACCGTCCCGTGCATTAGCATCGCTGAGCGGGGATGATCGTGAGAAGCTAGTTCAGAGTTTGGCAGGATGGATGTAGGGCGGATGTCTGGTAGGCAATGTCGCCGAGGCCTCACCCTTGAGGACACTACTGCCAGCGAAGATAACACAGTGAAGAGCTAGCAACCGGAATTTTTTTGTTGATTAGACCGACATAGGCGAGTCGGGAGCAAGATTGCAATTAGTTCGGGGGGAGATAGAAACCCTGTCTAGGGGCAGGCAATACCAGCAATGCAATTTAGGCGATTATGACGGGGATAGCGACCCTCGCATAGAATAGTGTGACTGACTGACCGTGGGCGTGTGAGGTTTGAAGTTACATGCGTCCGGATAACGACTTGATGACACCGCCTTTGGGTTGATATCGCTGAGTGCTCGTTTCGGATCCGTTGCAGCGCGTAGAGCCGTCAAGTACGAGTCGCAAGTGGTCACCACCGCGTGGATTTTGAAGTGCTGCCAGTGTTAGGTAGTTGCCAAGGTCGGAACTGTTGATGTTTTGATGAGCGGCATGGATCGCTGTCGTTAGGCTGTTCCAGGCCACTGGAAGCAATGACAAGGTACTGATTCCGCTCTTTCTTTCTCTTCTCTTTCTTGAGCTCTTTCGACCACCTTCCGCTCCCCTCATCGTCGAGGCAGCATCTTGATCGTCGGCCCTGGCGCGGTCCCCCACGTTCCTTTCACTATAGTATGCACAACCATTTGAAACGTTTGCCCGCGGTGCGGGCACGGTATAACAAGAAGCGTCTCCCTTCGGAAGGCTGGAACGACGCACATTTGGCTCCCAGATTCACTCTTACAGCACCCATTACAATAACAAGAATCTTCAGTCCGATTCCAACAGAGGCGTCGACGCCAACTATCACGACCACGATACAGCCTGCTGCTCCCCCAGTCACTTCCACCACTACCATCACGACTTCGCCCCCCGCATCTACGACGCTGTCCCCGCCTCCCGCTGCGAGCACGTCCACATTCACATCAACATTCACGCCGCCCTCGTCCGCACTCGCCACCAACCCAGCCTCGTCCGCGTCCGACACAGACAGCGCCAATGTGGCGCCATCGAGCGCCGCCGTGCCCATCCCCGTCGGGTCCGCGATCAACGCGAAACCAGTCAGCATCGGCGGCGTGAGCACGGGCTCGTCGAGCTCACTGCCGACCGGCGCGGTCGTCGGCATCACGCTCGCGATCGTGCTGCTGCTCGTCGGCGCGATCCTGTTCTTCCAGCGCAACCGCGCGATGCGGCAGCGTGAGATGCGACGTGCGACGGCCGCGTGGGCGCAGCCGCGCCCTGCCGACAACTGGGGGGCACCCCGGGCGACGGAGGGGTACGCTGCGTATGGCAACGGGAACGGGAGCGGGAATATGAACAGACCCCCCATGGCTGAGGCGACGCCGGGCATCTCGTTCACGCCTGCGCCCGCGCCGTCCATGCCGGCCCCGCTTGTGGCGTCGTACAACAACCCTGTCGCCCCGTCTGCGATGGCTGCGGGGGCCCTAGCGTCCGCGGGCAAAGACAGCGCCACGGTCCGCTACGAATTCATTCCGTCCCTGCCCGACGAGCTGTCCATCACCGCTGGCCAAACGCTGCGCGTCGTCGCAGAATACGACGATGGGTGGGCGCTCTGCACGAACCCCCGCGGCGAGCAGGGGATGGTGCCCCTCGAGTGCCTGGAGATGCAGGGCAAGAGCGACGGATTGTTGGGCGACCGACAGGAGTACCGCAATTCACGCCGGACGAGCAGTCTGGCGCCGGGCAAGAACTATTAATGCGTGGGTCGACGGTTGATGAGCTGAGGACGAGGACTGGGTGCGTGCGCATCCTACCTAGTGCGCTGAAATTCTGACTGACGGACTGTGCTGATATCCAGGTCATGTTTTCTAAATTATCGTAATGGACTTGCGAGTTTGTTATTTTGTGCAACTTATTATAGTTTTCGGCTGGTTTTCCCGAACGGGGACCGTTCGTCTGTCGTTTTGTCTGTCCGCTCTGCATCCATCTTCAACCAAGTCTTGTACAGTACTGCACTTCTAGGGTTCCTCTGTACTTTGAATGTATGGCATCCGGTTCTGACGAGAGATTCCGGATCTGTGATCTGGGATCTCGGACCTGACGATCCCCACACACTCTGCGCGTTGCACGTGAAATCGTGAGTCAAAGTTGTCAAGCAAGGAACGTGGTCGAAGCTAATGCTACATGCAGCTATTGTCATACAGACGCTACAAACTACAGTGTGTACTTGGGTCGATTGTGTACTTGGATCGATTGGGAACCTCATCAGGCTCCGATGGTCTTCATGCTCTCGAACTGCTGCGTAAACTCGTCCATGGCATCCAGCGTTTCGACAAAGTGGCTGAAGCCAACATCTTGTTTCCTGGCACGGGCGAGCGAACACGCCGTTCTTACGGCATTCTTGATCTGACGTCCGTTGATCTCGCGTTTGGCCAGTCGGTCGACATTGTCGTCCGTGATGCCGACCGCACCAGATCGAGCGATGAATGCCCGCCAGACCTCGGCTCGCGACGACTTGCTCAAAGGACCGAAGTGGAGGGCCACATGGATTCGTGACAAGAAGGCCTCGTCGAAAGCCTGCACCCGATTCGTCGTCAAGAAGAGGATTCCTCGGTAGTACTCGACATGGCGCAGACTGAGGCACTGTGAGACACGCCTGGCTAATGAGGAGGGCAAAAGACACTCACAAGACAGCGACCATGGCGTTGCGCTCCAGATCATGCAACGAGCGCCGTTCGAGGAAGACATCCGCCTCGTCGATCAGCACGATGGCTTTCCAGGCAGTCGCGACGTTGAACACGTTCTCCAGCGCATGGTCCAGTGCGGAAGCCGTCGTGCCCAGATCTCCTCCGCCGATAACGTAAAGAGGGCGTTTGACATGTTCGCTCGTAGCTTCTGCAGAAAATGTTTTGCCTGAGAAGCAATCAGCATGTCGGAGCCGAGAGAGATAATGTAAGCGATCGGAGAACGCACCGACACCCGGAGGCCCGAATAGGTTCACCACGAGACCTGCTCCCTTGCCTTTGACAAAATCGTCGAAGCCGGCCTCGTCGTGGTGGGCCTCGACCAGAGACTGGAGCAGAGTCTTGCGGTCGGTGGGAAGGACCAGGTTCGCGAATGCATCTGAGTTCCACTGAACCGCAGACACCTTGGTGATGTCAAATTCCACTAGACTAGAGTGAGCAATTGTTTAGTGGACGACAAGAGGACAACGCACACCACATCTTGTCATTGAGCGAAAAGCCATACACCACGGTCGGTGTCAACAACAGTTCCTCTTCCGAAAGCTCGAGGCTCTCCGTCGTCTGGGCATGCATAAGCGCGCCTTGACACGAAAGGTGAGAATAATCGAAGTAATGTGATACTAGCACATACCATCTCCGTGTAGTCCTTGCTGTGGCGGCTGCACCAGCGGGTTGCCATATATATCAACAGGAACCACTATCCGATCGTCATCCGATTTTGGCTCGACGGGAGTCGGGAACGAGTAGTTCGGATTCAGCTTGGCGAACGTCTCGCGGTCGACCATGACCCGCCCACGCACAGCGTGACGCACGAGTTTGGGGCCCATCCTGAACGCGGCGATCCCGTCGTATTGCATGTGCTGGATGCCCGCCATCTCGAGCCACCGCTTCCCGCGCTGGACGATCCGCTGGCGCAGCTGGGCCTCGTTCGGATGGAACTGGACCGGGAACGCATCCAGCTGGTCGATCCGCATCGCGCCTTTGAAGAACGGGATCAGCGCGACAGCGGTGACGCGCCCGACGCCCACCGTCTGGGTCGCAGGACGGTCGACGAGGTCGACGGCCTCAAGCGAGAGCTGGAAGACGGCCACCCCTTCGACCGCGGTGCGCTGGAAGCTCTGGAGCACGAACAGCCGCTCGTGCCCAGTCACAGCACACCGCCCAACAATGAGTGTCCGCGGCACGAGAATCGCGTACAGCAGATCCCAGGTAATCTCGCCGTGAGCAGTCAGCCGCGTGATTGTGCTGATTGTGGTGCGGTAGTCCTGAGCGAGGAACGACAGAAGCAGGTTGACGGAGGAGAGGACATGCGAGTCTTGTTCAGTCAAGCTCTTCGTGGCGGACAGCTTGTCCCGATAGGCCGTGAGGCTGGATAGCCAGGTCAGGAAGATCTCCGGCTCGAGCTTGAAGAGTGCCGCTTAATCTGATGTGAATCAAGAGACTGTGCAAAGCGCACCTCAAGAGGATCGGCGTTCCAAGAGACACCAGGCCAAGTTTGAATGACATCTCGCAGCGCTTTCGCAAGATACGCGCTTTTGATAACGATCTTGAAGGTCGGTTTCTGGTTCTCTTGCTGAGGGATCGTCCTCACAACGCTATCCAGGGAAATGAGACTGTCGGCAATGATACCAGGGATCAAGCAACGCACACAAAGCTGTAGTCCTTCCACGGATCGTTGCTCCCTCCGCCCAGAATCGGGAGCGTTTCGACCGTCACTCGTGAGTTCATGTTCTACGCATCGTCAGGGTTGTGTCTTAGGGAAACCTGGGAACACGCACCTTGTACTTCCACTGTTTCGACCAGCTCGAGTAGAAGTAGTCCAGTCGCTTAATCTTCATCGACGCCGGGGGCAGCGGCTCGTCCCTCACGATGGTGGACGTCTTCGATTCGGTCTCCACATCGTCGTAAACAGTTACCGACGAAGGGCCCGCAGAGGGAGATTTGATGAGGGTTGAGAAACGGCGCATGGTGGTGGTCTTCGACTCAGAGAGACGATATCAGAACTGGAAGCACCACCACAGCATTTATAGCGCGACAAGCATCGTGTTACGGGCGACAAACATGATTTTGGGTGCTGTGCACGGAATGACTCGGTCAGTGGGCTTCCATTGGCCGTTGAGTGACATCGAACCTCGAGGGAGGGTTCTGGTGGGATTGACTCGAATTGAATGGCTGTGGACATCGTGTCACGACGGGACCGCGACTTCATGGAGAGGGATGAATCTCGATTTCAGGAGACATTAGAAGCAGAAGCATGCAGTGTACAGGGTTCCAGTTCATTTGCTATGGCAGTGTTAGTGAGAGAGCTGCCAATGAGATCGGTAAGAGCTACTAGGTGGTATCGTAAACGTCACGTTCAACGCGTCAAGTCACAGAGGTCACTCGCAGATCAAGCGCTCGATAGCAGCTGCCCCAGCGGCACCCGTCCCGATCTGTTCATGTACCGTCATCAAGACCTCGTACTTGGAATGATACAGCCCGTTTGTTCGCTTTGAATCACTATGATCGGTGTTCCTATCGCCGAATCCGACCGTCCTTCTGTGCCAGGTTACTGGCGGTGCTGGTCACCCAACTCCCCTGTAGCATAACCTCGGCTGTACAAATTTTTTCTAGATTTTTGTAAGCGGAGTTAAGCTTGCTTGGGCTGCTGCAACATGATTCGTTGCCCCCAAGAATTGTCCAAGAGAGTCGTTGATTGGCCAAAGGATTCTGCTTTAGGAAATTGAGGGTCTAGACCTTTTTGTTGCCACTCCAACGAGCTCGGCCGCGGTCTCGTCAACGCAGGGTTGCTCTGTTCAGCTATCGAGGATCACGATGCATCTGTAACAAGTGTTTGAACGTGTCCGTCATCCGGCCAGAGGCACCGACAACAGTTTAACACCCACTCTTTCGCTTTCACACAACACCTTCCCATTACCATGAACATGCACAACCCCGGGCGCCATTTGGACGAGGGTTTCACGGACGAGGAGGTGTTCTCGGCGAGCAGCGAACTACTCTCGAAGGTTACATCAGAGCAGGAATGCGAAGGTAAGCAAGCGCCTCGTGCTCTGCATGCCTTGAGATCCGCAAATGACCGAGTCGCCCCCGTCCTTCGCAGAACTCGCGCTCAAGCTGCTGGTGTCGCTCCCGAGGTCGAGACTCGCGACGATACAGAGGAGACTGGCGCCTTTGCTGCAGTTTGATGTTGTTGGGGTCCGTCTCCGAACGTGTTTTCTCTCCCATGCACCCACTCACGGCCACGCAGTCACTCCCGGCGGAAGTCTCTCTCCAGATATTCTCGCACCTCCCCGCGCATACGCTCCTCACCTGCTCCCTCGTCAGCCGGCGCTGGCGCGCGCTCGCGAACGACCAGGCGATCTGGAAGGAGCTATGTGAAGGCCGGGGATGGGTGTGGAAACAGCCTTCGCGCGTGCATTCATTTGATGCGCCGCGGAGCAGGGGCGAATCGTGGGAGGATGATGAGGGGATGGGTGACTCGGACGAGGAGGAGGAGGAGGACGAGTTCTCCGCCGATGGGATCGAGGTGGCGAAAGCCGAGTGGGTCATGATGCAGGCGGAACTGGCCGGGCCAGCGACTACTAGTATGCCGTTGGTCACGGCACGGCCCTCCACCCTGGCACGCTCGAAATCGAGGACGCGGCACAACTCGGCCCCAGCAGCCCTGAGCGAAACGTCCTACCTGCGGCCTGACTACAAGCGCCTCTTCCAGACCCACACGCGCCTGAACAACCGCGTCCGGAGCGGCTCCTACCGGCTATCCGCTATCCAGACCCGCGGCGGCCCGTCGAACGCGCACACTACGACGATCTACTGTCTCCAGCTGTATACCTATCCCGCGACCGGGGTGCAGGTGTTGTTCACCGGCTCGCGCGACCGCACTATCCGCGAATGGAATCTGAGCACGGGGCTTGTCGAACGGGTCATTGCGGGTGTGCACACGAGCTCCGTGCTGAGCATATGCGTCCACGACGGTTACCTTGCCAGCGCGAGCAGCGACCGACAAGTCGCCGTCTGGGACCTATCGAAGAACGCGCTCGTGAAGCTGATATCGGATCACGAGGACAGCGTCCTGTGCGTTCGCATGGACGGAAGAAGGCTCGCCTCATGCTCGAAAGACCGGACCGTGCGGACGTACTCGTTTCCAGACCTCGAGCCCCAGTTCGTTCTGGGCGCGCACCGCGCTGCCGTGAATGCGGTGTCCCTGTCCGGCGATTTGATCGTGTCTGGCTCTGGAGATCGGTCGGTAAGGCTGTGGGACGCGACAACGGGGAAGCTTTTGCGGACTTTCGAGAATCATCACAGCCGCGGGTAAGCTCTCGATCGTGTGTCTATGACGATTGTATCTCTAATGCTAATTCCATCCACAGCATTGCCTCAATCGACTTTGCTGCACCGTATGTTGTGTCTGGGTCATCCGACAAGCACCTCCGCTTCTTCGACATAATGTCCTTCCAAGGATGGTCCACTTCAGAGGGCGCCTCCCAGGCAACCCCTCTGTCCGCAAGCGGTACTATCTGCACGACATGCGGTAACGCCGCCGGGGGATCGCACGCAGCTCGACCCGGTGTCCAGCGCAGAGTGCATTCCGATCTGGTCCGCAGCGTGGCAATGGGCCCCGATTTCGTGCTAAGTGGAAGCTACGACCTGTCGATAAAGGTGTGGGACCGCAAGACTGGTGAGCTGGTCGCAGATCTCACCGGTGGTCATTCTGGGCGGATATTCTGCATTGGTTTTGACTGTACGAAAATCGTTTCGTGCGGAGAAGATCAGGTTAGTCGCCGCTGCTTTGTTTGTTACATCTTGCTCACTGTTGGTTAGCGTATATGTGTCTGGGACTTTTCGCATGGTATCGACACTAGTTACATTCAACTTTGAGGTCTGGACTTGTTTGCGCGCTTTCCTAGCTATCTGTCGTGCCGCCCCTGCTCACTTTGGCCCGTCGCACTTGCTGCTATCCACTCTCTTTCCATTTCAATCACTTCGTTTTCACTGCTTGTATCCAGAAAGGATTTCACTTCAAATAAAACATGCAAAAATTGCAAACTTGACCCGTACGGATTGTTTCTGTCAATGCGCCGTCTCGCTCAAGCGTTGTCGTTGTATCGTGAACACTGGAGAAAATCCGAGCCTTCTTGAGTGGACGGGGTAATCCAATATTGGGAATCTCATCCGCAGCATACTCGTGAGCAACTTCGAAACTCTTCCACACAGCAGACGTAGCCGTACTGTGGAAGCTTATAGTTGATAATCGTGAAGTGAAAACACAACATGGAAATGATGTGCAACAGGCTTGATCAGATGTTGTAGATTGCCATAGATTAGATTAGATTAGATTCAATCACAGCTTAAATCTCCCGATCAGGACTTGAAAGCACTCCAAGAGACTTGCCTGCCCATTTCATGTCAATTCATCTTATATTTTACCCTGTGTCTTTGCCTTCTGTCTTCGAACGCTCGTCTTAATACCTCAAGCCAAAGAGCCAACAACTTACTCCCAAGTGCCTAGGATGCAGCAGTTGTGCACTGTCCGAGCTGCTGAGACCCACGACACACACAACCGGGCCGCGCCTGCACGTCCTGCTGTCCTGCCGCGTTCTGCGATATCATGATCTACGTGCCGCACTGCGCGGCCAACACACGGCAGACCTAATTGGGGCCTGGCTTCTGTGTACCCACAAAACACAGCACTTGCTATAAAAACCACACGGCCAGAGAGCCTCACCCCCATCGCCTCTTCTCCTCTTACTCTACCTCGACCCACCAGGGGCCGGGTCTCCTTCCCTCTCTCTCCTTGCCTCAAGCCACTCAGGCATCCCTCGAGGTGGGTCATATTCCTTCTTTCCTCGAGTACTAGTCCGGGGGACGGACGGCGTAGGCGCAAGCGAGAGACGCCGGGGGGCGAAGACGGTCCGTGTGTGTACGTTGCGAGCGCCGTGGTCGTGACCGCTGCGCCTCGGTTGTGTTGCGTCGATCGTCGGTCGGCCGCACGCCGGGGATGCACGTTAGAGAGGGGTGCTGCAGCTGGCCACCGGCGTGTCTGTTCCTGCTTGGACACGATCGATGAGGATCGACATCTGAGAGAGACTGGCTTACTGGCGACGTACTGGTACATGCATATGACAATCACCGTTCGATGTAAGACGGCTGAAGGCCACTGGCGACGGCGCACACGGACTCGCACGGTTCTGAGCATCGGATACGGCACGATTTCTCCTTCTGGCACCAGCGCAAACGGCTCAAGGCCAAGCACATAGGCGCCCCCAGTGGATGGACGGTGGCCAACGTCCGTCCATAGTCTCTTTTTGCACACAGGCGCGAGCACCGCATATGGGTGTTGTGGGTCCGCCGTCACCCGCCTATTCGATCACTGGCAATCGTGATGAAACAGCAAGCGGCAATGGGGTGTGCCCTCTGTCGTCCGGGAATATGACTCACTCAGCGTGACGCTGGCGATTGTGCGCTGACTTTCCCCACCCAGGTCTCGCGACATACAAGCTTCGAAAATCTACCATCGATATCGGTGCCGGTGTCCTGCGCAGATTGCATGGTGTATCTCCACTTCTGGTCGTTACGCTTGTAGTCCGTGCTGAGTATCCTCCATCGTTGCACTAGGATGGCGCATTCCACATCGCATAATCTCGCCTCCCACCTAGTTGCTTATCTGTATGTTCCCATGAATGCCAGACTGCGTAATTCGCTGTTGTCTCGACTTCCAAAGCGGTAGATTCACAGCTACGATTAGTCGCTGACATACGTGACGCTATCATCCTCGTCCATCCGGATGATGAGCCTGCAGTGCGGCACCAGTCCAGCCTGCGCCACGGTCTCATCCTTGTCACACTCGATTTCGATCGTTCGCCCGTTCCGATCCTGAGAAAACAAGAACAACCTCGCTCTGAAGAGGCTGAGATCAAAGGCGGGGGGCGATGGAGAGCAGAAGAAACGCACTGGTCAAAGTCGACGTCAAAGTTCTTGCAGGCCCCACCGAGAACTTTGCGGATCGAGTGTCCTCCGCGCGTCGTGAACTCGGCGCGTTCGTTGTCCGGGCCCGTAATCGAGATCTTGAACCGTTCGTCATCGCCCCGAGAAGCCTGAGTCGCGTTTGCCGCTGCGTGCGATGACTCGGCACGCTGGTTGGATCCTGGTGCGCACATCAGAGAAGCGTTGTACACCGAGGAACGATCGGGACTCACGAATGGATGCGTTGCGAGAAGCTGCAACGATGGGAGCTGGCTTGACTTTGGGCGTCAGCTGCTTCGAGCTGCTCACTTTCTTCGGGGACGATGTGGCGCTGCCCAGATTTGGCTGAGTCCTCGAGCGCGCTTCAGATAACTCCTTGGTGAGTGCCCGCCGGGAGTGAGGTGGGTCCTCTTCGTTGTCGTCTTGGACGTGTATGGATCGATCCACTTCTTCCTCCTCTTCCTCTTCCTCTTCCTCTACCTCGGGTGTCGGATAGAACCCTCCTGCGTGGCGCGAGCTGCTGGGAGCGGCGCTGCGCGCTACATCGGGCTGGATCACGACCGTATCGACTTCAGTGTCTTCCGGCCATGATAGGGTCGTGGCCGGTGGATTCCTTACAAGGCCTAGGAGACCGTGACTGAGAATGTTTGATAACTGGAAGGAGCGCACCAGTTGGATCCACCGCGACGTTAAGAGTATCTATAAATGGCGCCAAGAGTGTATATGCGCCTTCAGTGACCTCGACATTCTGCCCCGCACACACGTCCCACGTGGAGACCTCGAGACTCAATGCAGTACGCGCGTCAATTCCGAAATTCAGTTTCACGATGCGCTGCATCTCCTACGGGGGAGCGTCAGCGCATACGCCATCCATTGGTAGAGATCTTCACTTTGTACGTCTCGCATCGGGGGAGAAACTTCCGTGTCTCATCGAAACTGACGAGAACGACGGGGATGTCTTGATGGGATTGGTTCTTC